ATAGTTCAGTGACTTATGTGCTGTTACAGTGACATTCGCTTGCCCAAGTTTAGTTATCTGAAGTAAAGAAGCAGACTGGGTGGCTGAGGTTGTATCAATCAGCAAGTCTCCGGAGCGGAGACGCTTTATATTTCTCGGCTCACCAATACAAGACTGGATGTATTTGTTTATTACAAAAGGAGACATCTTATGCATTTCGCCAGAAGGCACTAGAGATGACTAGGAAACGGGGACTATTGTTATGATTTTTTTCATTTGCATCTGTACGTAAGTTTTTTTTGCAGTAGGACAGTTTTCAGAACTAGGTTGAGTGACTGGTTTAGTAGGTAGACGTTTCATTTGAACGGTTTAGTATAGAACTAGGTGGAGTGACTGGTTTAGTAGTAGGACGTTTCAGAGCTAGGTTAAGTGACAGGAGTGACCTTCAAAATCTTAAAAAGGTATATATGTGAAGATTTAGCCATATTGAAGTAAGAGAATGATTCGGGTCCGACGGCCCCGCCCACCACGGAGCCCAACCAAGGGAACACAGATTCCTGTGTTAGGGCTAGCAGGACCTATACGCAAACTGAAGCCCCACAGTCGGCTTTCTCGAAAGCAGGTACTCCCGAGAGCTTGACCCCAAGCCACTGACACAAGGACTAGTGACCAGCCGATTGACACCCGTGAGGACGACTAAGGTGCCTCCCGTTTAGCTGAAGCAGAGGCCAAAGTAGTGTGTTGGGGACAGTACCTCGCCCGTCAACTACCAGGACCCTCCTTTGACACGGGTCTCCACGCACGGCAAACACGTGGGCAGTTTTCTCGCCACTCGAAAACTAGAGACAAGGGCTGCTCCAGTCTCTCGTGACGAGCCCCAAACTCCGTAGAGGGAAACCACGAGGGAGAAGGGAAGGGAAAAAGTTCCAGCTAAGAGGAGAGGAGACGGAAAAGAGGATAGATCACTGAGGCTCCAGGATCGTGACACCCGTCTCACCAAGAAGATGATCCCCTGAAGGGCTAGGGTACCTCGGGATTGCCACACCCGTACTCACAAAAGTGAGCCCCTGAGGGCTGGGTGTTCTAGAATATAAATTTAGTCGGAGGTCTATGGTCTGGTGTGTCAGTCCTGTAAATATGACTTTGATGTTCCGTGGTATTCATGGAGTTACATTTTGTATGGTCAGCAGTGCACTTCTATAAATGGAAGCCTAAATTTTACTGCTTTAATGTTAAATAAGTACTTGATGAAAAATGTCGTATTCGAAAGACATATTATCTACACTACAGATAATGGTCATAGGTCATATGAAACACATAGGACTATTTATTCAACGAACAAAGATCCGATCTAGCCTGAACATAAGTACTAACAGACAGCTTTATTCAATATTAATCAAATTGATTTTGTTTTACACTGCTTCTATGTGAACAGTTTTCTCTAAAAGTCTCAGAAATCGGAACAAATTAGAAAATTATCAGAAATGCAAATTATCCAGAACGCGGTCTCAAAACCCTCAGTATAAAAATGTCATTATTATCGGAAGAAACTTTTAAATCCTTGTGAATTATACAGCTTCTGAAGTTCCTTAGAAGCTGTATAATTTACAAGGATTTAAAAGTTTCTTCCGATAATAATGACATTTTTAAACTTAAAATTTTTTTCATAACTTTGGGAGTGAGAATCATCATTCTGATACCATTAATGCCATCGAAAAATATGACGGGCTAGCTATGAATATATGCAAGAGGCTGAAGCACATTTTTCATTTAAAAAATAGCAAAGTTTTTTTTTTTTTTTTTTTTTTTTTTTTTTTTTTTTAAGCTTTTGAGGTTGTGCTTCTGTCCATAGTGTCTAATTCGATAGGGATTCCCAGTAGGATTTATATGGAAACAATTAATAATTATGCTCCGTTAGTTATCAGGATTGACTAATTTTGAATTGATATTTTGGCTACCTTGCAGATATTTGTAAGAGGAAATAAGTAGCATGTTTTTTTAGTTTGAAGCTCTTTCAAATTTAGCGTGTTTAGAGGTAACCTCTGGAAAGCAGAGCGTAAAACTCTGCCGAGTTATTGTCAACAGCTTACACATTTGAGATTTCTCCAGATATATTGTATTAAAAATCATATTTAATCAAACTTTACATAGCTAAAATAGCAGAGGGTGGGAATCGCATTAGTGAATCCCCTAATTTTGAGGCGAGGGGGAGAACCTGCTCGAGGAATTAACTCATGTTCACTCATTGCTCTAATGCTCTGTGTCGCTACCTTTTCACTGACTACGTTCTACTGCCCACAGCGGATTTACATTGTCGACTTCTTGTATTCAACATGCAACAACGTTGTAGAACTACATAGCTCTTCTCGACATGCCTCTGGATGTGCATGCGCATGCACCAGACCTGGCCCATGCTTCCGTTGAGATACAAAACCATTCACGGGAAACTTCGGAACAAAGTAGTTGAATCCTATCAGAAGCCTGTCAAAATTCTCGTTTTCGGAGTTTATTTTTTATTCATTGAATTTAAAAAAATTTCTCGAAGGAAATCTCCTCCAAGATGTCTATTGCTTTCAAGAAGTGGGTTTTGCGTTTTGGCAATACAGAAACACTATCACCTCAAAGAAATATTTTTTGCAAACCTCAAACGTCGTGCACAAAGAATCTGGTTGAATAAATGCGCATCTACATTTTAAACTACATTACACTTTTCTTTATCAAATAAACACATAATTAACTCATGATAATACTTTGTAATGTTCTATTATTATAGCATAACAATTTGTGATGTTATAATATTATCAATAATATTGTGATGTTATAATATTATCAATAATATTGTGATGTTATAATATTATCAATAATATTGTGATGTTACAGTATCATCATTTCCCCTTATCATTTGGCATTATTATTTTTAGGAACTCATTTTAAATGTACGTGTATTAGCTGATTATGTCAAAGCGTAGTAGAACTACCTGCATAAGGGAAAAAAAGGCTTTCGTGAAAGATTTTCCAAGGAAAACTGGTTCTTATTAACATCACCACATGGGAAAATCCTAGCCTGCTCCACTGGATGTGAATTCAGGTTAATCTACCTGTGTTTAGTTGCGTTACCTACTATTCCATTACTGGGCCTTCAAATAGCTATGATTTTATGATTTAACTAGGTTGGAGATTGATTAATAAACTAATAGGCTAATCGCTACTATTTATTTTAAAATTACTTTATGCATTTAACCGAAATTAGCATATGAAGACTTAATAGCAAATTTTAAAGCTTATGATTTTTATATTTTTTGAATCATAAACTTTTTTTTTTCTGATTTTTTGGAACTTTAATAAAAAACCCTTCGGGCTGTTAGATTGCAATCTGAATTTTTTTGGATTGTAAATTTATTCCTTTTTTTTTAAAAGCGAGGGGGGTTAAGTCATTTTTTAGTGAAGAAAGAAAAAGTTGTCTTACTTTTCGTTCTCTATTCAGAGTTATTTTCTTACATCTTCCACCAGGCATAAATTGGCTGAGCCATATTATAAGTGGTGAAAGTAGTCTTTCGTCAATATCTTCACCTTTTGTAGCACCTGAAAAAATGAATATGGAAAAAAATGAACTTTGAGGTTGCGTGAATTATTGATATCAATGGGGTCAGTAAATTAACATTTAAGAGATGAAATATATTGTCTCTTTCATATTGAAGCAAAGTATTCAAACAAAATGTTCTACACTTTCTTCGAGGGTATATAATCATTATTCGCTTTTGAACAGTTTTGTTTTCCCGACTAATTTTTTTTTGGCTAGTATACTGAATTGATTAATTATGTTAAAACATGACAATAAGAAAAGATTTCCGGTGACTGTACAAATTATGAGGATCATACTGAAAATAACGCAAAAGTTGGACTAAATTTCTCATTAACTGACACAGATACAAATTCCACATGTTGCAATAACTCTTCCTCAGTACGTAGGTATTACTGAACATAGTTTCTATTGCAAGCAATGCATTTGCACAATCACTTTACGCAACTCTTAAATCCTCTTTGAAAAATTTCAGGCTTCCATAATTTTATCCATTTCTTTACATTTTAACTTATGTCAGGAAGCTGTTTGCTCCCACACATCGTCCATCATTAGAGGAAAGAAAAAAAAGTCTGAAGGCTCAAAATTAAGTCTGTTTGATGGATTAAAATACGGTTGTACAGCTCAGAGAACACCATCTTGAAGCTCAGTTGGTTGATCCCATGAGTTGTTATCAAACATGTGTCAGGATTGAGAAGATCGGTTTGAATGCTTAGCTCATGTCAGACCACAGATTTGTGAGGATGTGCTTTATCGCGATGAATGTAGATTGAATTCAGATTCTTATTTGGTCTCATCATAGAAGCTTTTGGAATGTTTGAATGTACTGATGTTGATAGTTGAATAGTCACCACTAAATAATTAGAGAATGATGCCTTTGCCACACCCAAACACAGTCAATATGAGCTGATTGTTCGCTCTTGCAAACTCTAGACCGTGCAGAAAAGGAGCAAGGAAATTCCTTGAACTAGTTCATCGTCTCTGAATCGTGTAAGTATACCCACGTTTCGGTTTCTACCATAAACTTGCAAAAACATTATGAATTGGCTTCAAACGCTCCCAGTGGATTGGAGCAAGTAAAAATTACTTTTTCTGTTATATCATTTGTCACTTATCAAGGTACTCTAGTTGCATATATTTTACTATAACTCACGTCTTTCAAAATCTATTGTATTGCATTGGGACTACGGCTTGTTTATGCCAGATAGCTAATAGTCCGCCCCAATCAGTTCGTTCATCCTGTTGGGTATCAGTGTTTCTGTTGGCGGCCTTCCATTATGTGGTTTATTTTAAACAGGAGTTTACCTTTGCGAGTTTATCTTTTTTTTTATACTTTGTAAGGATTATGTTAATTTTATTAACAGTTAAGTTTTGACTTAAAGTTCCTTTCCTATCGAGACTTAACTTCAACTTACACTTCCGACCAGAACATAGTTTTAGAATCACGTCTGAATGCATAATGAAGAAGAGCGGTATTTAACCGCGAAGTTCTTCGGTCTTAGGGAAAGAGATACCAGGTATTCTGTCTGCACGCGTCCGCCTTTTCTAGGCTACTTTCTCGTAAGCTATTATCACGCTCGGCCGTACTTTAGGCCCTTAATAGCTTCGTAGTCTATTAACGTTAAGGGGCCAACTCTGCTAGAATTTTAATAGCTTCGGCTATACCTCTTTAGTTTAGATTAGTTTAGGTTAATTCTTAGTATCTTAAGTTCAAGCCGAAGTGTCGGATTCATTGTACACTCCAAGACGGAGTTTTGTTAAACTTTAGTTGGAATAATAAAGGACTAGTTTACCCTTCTATCTTGTTTCCTGTCACACGAACTTAAGCGATTATTCGCTTATCAGTTCTTAAGATTCTTCACTTCCAACAGTAGCTTAGGATTAGAAAGTGAGGAATTCTACAACTTCATTAATCTATGTATTTTTTCTCTTGTGAATGGTATCGTCTCTGTAAATATTCTGTAGCTTTCTGTGGATGTCGGACAGGTTGTTGTTTGCAATCGTTTTTTATATGCAATGAAGATAATTATTATTATGCTCTTGTGTATAGAAAGAATCAGTATAATAATATGTGGATTTTGTACCAACTGTGGAATGTATAACAGTTAGCCCAAACTTTGCATTACTTTCAGTACGACGCATATATAAAGGTATTAAAGATTAGAAAATAATTTAGCATGGAGTTATGTGTTGACTTCGTCTGGCAAAGAAGAATAGAAATGTATTTAAATAGCATGAATATTTTGTGGCAGATGTTATCATTCCTTGAACTGGATGATAATGATGGCGACAGCATTTAATTATGTGTCAGCAATTAAGGGGTAAAAAATCTTAGTGTTTATGCTTTATAAATGACTATTCAGAAACAAATCTTGTTGTTGACAGATAGCATAACGTTTAGAAAACAGGCGTGCTGACACAGACGGTGGTCATGATAATTCAGAAACAGATATAAAACGTGTTTATCTTATTTAATGCAGTCATATCGAAAGTAGTAGTAGTACCATATTAAAAGGTATTTATGTTAGAGATACATTCCATTTTAACGATAAAAGGAACATTATGTTTTTAAGAATATATCTCAAACGTCACATATTTTGCTTTAAATTAACAATACACTGCTGAGAGTTGAAATGAATTATAACTCACGTTTTTCTATGATTTAACAAAATTATAAGTGATTTTTCTCACCTGACACGAGACTAATGACAACGCCAACGATAAGAACCACCACGAAACCTACAGCACTTAACCACAAATAGGACAGCCGGTAAGGTGGGAAAATGTCGTCACTGAAATGAAAAAAAATAAAAGGTCTTATACCCTACGATATCAGTGGTTAAAAAAGTATTCTAAGTTATATCACATTTTAATCAATTATAATTGTAATAGAAAAATGAGATAATACATGCATTGTTGATACGATTTATTTAACATAAACCTATTATGAAGATATTACGAATAATATACAGATGTTTATTTACATCTAAACCTTAAACAATAAATGATTGGTTAATTAATTGACTAAACACAAAGTATAAGACAGCTATCGACCGAAGGGGAGGGATGCCTTAGTGAGAGAATTTCTGAAGTATATATGATCGGAATATCGATATTTAGCATTCTTATCTAATTGGCTACTGGTAAGCGGAAAAAGTAAATAAAGATAGAGTAGTAATTTATTACGAAGGAAAATAAAACGCGATGAGGCTAATAGTGAAAATTCGCGAAACTTTCGAAGTCTGGAATTTTTATTAAGAATACCGAGAAAATTTCTGTGGTCAACATTAACATTTCGGGACATGTGTACCAAAAAACAAGCAAGGACAGAAGTAACTAGTATGTAACTGAATAAAAATAATATTTCTTATATTTTTCCATTTATAAAGCTAATCAAGTTCTGAAAATGTGTCAAAACTATTATTTTAATCAAGATTAAAACTTAACTGAACACTGTTTTTGTGCATCATACTCTACATACACTGATTTTTTTCATTAAGTTGCACGTTATTTTCACAAAAGATGGCTTGACATGGCAATTGTTTGAAGACATTGCTATAATCTGCTATTTTCAAATAGGTCCTTCGAGGCCATTTCTTCCCCCTAAACTATGACTCAAAACCATAACAATGATTGCTGCTAAAATAAATCGAAACCTCTATAATTTGCTAAAATCCTTAAATTTCCTCTATGCAGTGATGACGACAAATGTTATGGATGTGAATGAGGGGAGGTTCGTTATAACCTTTGCCTATTTTAAAGTAACGAATTATAGGCAACGGAGGGAAATTTTAAGCAACTTCGGAAAAGACTAATTCTCGCAATCCAGTAGTCCAGTTGACTTGATATAGTTCAAAGTTCAGTTTTCTAGTTTTGATTCTGAAATAGCATTAATCTGCAGTGTATTTTTGCGGTAATTCTAATGAAAAGTAGCATAAAATTTACTTTAATATAAATATAATGTAGCAATTGTTGCAAAAAATTAGGAAAAGGAGGGCTGAGAAAGAATTCCGAAATTTTCAGATTTATGTATTCTATGGTTCGTAGTATTGATAATAACAAAATTTTAAAATATTCCAAAATTTACGAAGATTAATGACGTAAATTCGCGTCGCAGTGAAGTAACTGCCTTATTAAATTTGTTTATTTGTATTAAATTTGTTTATTAAAAATTTTGTTTATTTGTAGAATTCATAAAAGCTCTAATTCTAAATACTTTTAGAATATGAGACGATATTAATTTTCCCAAATCCAAAAAATACCTGAAATTACAACAATCATATTCTTTTTTATTTTACTTTTTTTATGATGAACACTTCTACTAGACGTCAATGAAACTGTCTTTCCAAATTTTTGATTTAATACTCTTTTAGGTTAAGATTCAAAAGATTCGAGGGCAAAAAAGCGCGAAGATTCGAGTTTTTGAATTTCAAATGCTTTTGAAGATTCACGGTATTTGAGGATTCGAATGTTCCACGACTGATTTAAAATAGTTCAATAGTTCAACGATTGATTCAGATAAATAGAAAATGAACAATTTCTGATACTTTACTTGTTATGAATAATTTCTGGCATAGTTGTAATATTCGTAAGGTCAATGTGTGTGACATTATAGTAAAGTTCCGTGCAGTTTTCATAGGATCGAAAAGCTTCTGGATTGTAAGGCTGGCTGGAAAAGGCTCCCATTCCGAACCACATAGCTATCACAAAACCACTCAAAAGTCCTGTAGACGCCCCCTGAAATAAAGAAAATTCCTTTACATATCATTTTAAATTTTGTAATTATTACAAATCGAAGAGAATTTTATTAAAAGAATAGAATTTTTCAGTTTAGGAAATTTTGTTTAATGGAAAAAAAGAAAGGTATTTTGTCTAGCTATTTTGTTTGTCTCTTGCGTTATTTGTACTTGTTAGAGAGGACAAATTGGTACTGCATAATATTTTTTTAAGTTTCTGATTAGCGAGATTGCCAATAGTTGGTGCCACTATCAAAGTTCGATGCTCATTCGTGCTCTTGCTAGATGAAACTCGATTCTGGGTCCTATGCAGCCGTGACAAAACGTTTCAGATTCTCAAACTAAGAACATGCTTGCCATTTCTGAGACAATCATTTCTTTTTACGGTCAGCGAAGTCTCTGCAATCTAGCTTCAGAGGTGAAATAAGGTGCATTCCTCATATGACTGATTTAGTAAACATATTCAGGATAAATTAAATTTGATCGCATTATGCAATGGTCATATTATGGCTATGAAAAGTGAGACAGTGCTGTCGAAACGATATTTCTTCAGATTGAGCAATACACAACAGTACCAGTTAGACTCAGTTTATTGCTTTTTCTTTTTTTGTGGACAAAGCATACATTATTATTATCAATGTTGTTTCAGTGGTCCTCAGGCAAATTCTTCCAGGAGGTTTTTTTTTCCTGGACGTTTTATACTGTAAGATCGTCTTCTCAATTTTCCCATACTGTGCGGCAAAAATATTACGTTAAATTACAATCTTGTCAGTCTTACAATCTTTAAGATCGGTGTCGTCTTAGGCCGGTGGCCAGTCGCAACTGCATTTTGCTGCTCTGTGTCCAGTGTCATCTTTACTAATGTTATAAGAAGGAACAAGTGTATTTTATTTTAAATGGAAAAATAAGTTTCAAATTTAATATAACATTCACCATTTACCCCTACAAAGTACTATAAAAATTAATTTATTTCAAGCATGTAGCCATACTTTTGACTCATCATGCAGTTAATGGAAACTTGCATTTGCCATTGCGATTTATCACACATTGTGACACAGATTTAAATGTTACTAATGAATGAAAATGCTACTGAAGCAAATGCATTTTTCTGTTAGATTTTAGTTAAAATACAAGTGAAAAAAAAACATTTAGATAAATATTTTATGCATAGTATTTTTTTTAATTTCAAAGATGAAATAATAAAGGTAAAATATGAAACAGCAAACTTTACACTAATATGATGTATATGGTCACCTTCTGAGTAGATCGTGTGTTATAATACAATGTTATAAAATCGTTATACTGAAATCTGACTGAAAGGAAGTTAATATAAACTTTAAACATTATTATAGTGAATTCTGGACAATAAATTTGCAGACTGGGTTAGATTATTTGATTATGGCAAAACAAATTTCACGCAGATAGCTCTTTCAGCCACTTAAAACAGAATAATAATTGAAATAATTTTAACTTTCGATAATAAGATGAAAAAAATGTCAAAATTTACGACAGGTAAAAGGTAGATGTGAAACAATAAATTGTTTCCAAAATAGGCAGAAAGGCACTTAGACAGACGCACTCTTGACTAAAAATCTACGGAAATTGTAATATTCACATTCTTTTTTTACTGGTTAAGTTATATTATTTGGTTATGACAAATCATATTAGGGTAATCTGCCTAAAAGGGGAGCATACGTTTCATTCGTTTATGGAGAAAATTTTAAGGGGAATTGCCTTTTATTCAATTTGCACAGGGAAAAATGTAAGGACATACACATGCACGAAAAAAAAAAAATAAGCATGCAGCAATTCTGTTTCCGTGGGATTGAACCCGGGCAAACTTCCAGTGTTCAGTCTTCAACCACTCGGTCACTGGTGACTTTTGTTTTAAAACAAACTCTTTTATTTATCTCAATGAAAGTATCTTATCAGTCTTTAATTAAAACATGTAATGGGTTTCTTAGTTAGAATTAAATTGATGCGAAGACGTTGACACGCGAAAATTCGGATTTTTGAAACTGGAATATTTTTTTAGGCTTACAGAATTCGAGGATTTGATTGTCCTACAAATCCTCCAATGAAGAGTTAAACTTGTGAAAACGATAAAGTGAGAACGATAAAGATTTTATTTTTAAATAAACATTTAATAAAATGGATACCTATAAACATGTTAATTGCCCGAATGAAGCTCAAACCTGTAATCCAATAGAAAATTTGAATTTTGTAAACGTTTATATCAATATGTGAAAGCAAAACCTCAACATAATTTTAGCACTAATTCTCGTAAATAACAAAAATATGAATTCCAAGCAGAAAGTTTCTTATAAATTCATAGCAAATAATCTCCAAAGGTATAAAAAAAGCTAACAAAAATTCAATTTATTTCTTTTTAAAATATTGATACTATGATAATATTAAACTTCAGGCTTTTTTAAACCACTGATAAAGTTAGAAACGTGTGTGATCAAACTTAATTACCGTTTAAATAGAAAGTAAAGCAACTTCGGAAATAAATTGTATCAACTATAAAACGATTTTCTTTAGAAAATCTTGTTGTGAAATTGAAGGAAAGGTTCTCCATATCCCATAATCGATCATGCTTTTTTAGATTTAAAAAATCCTCTTCTGAATGTTATTCCTATCAGTGAAAATCTCTGGCCATATTTCTCATAATATAACAGAAATTCGTTTAAGGTGTGTCAGCAGAATTGTTTGCACTGCATTGATATCTTTGTTACTTCCATTCTTAATAGATTACTCAACTAATGAAACCTTTTTGTAAAAATAAATTATAATTAACATAATCCGCTGATAAAAAATTCATTGTTTGGGTTGAGATTTTACTATGCCGTATTTTTGCATACAGTACATATTAGAGATTGCACATTCGAATCCCGGATCGAATTAATCAAACCCCATTGAATCTGAAAAAGACTTGAAAAACCAAATTTTTTAGCTTTTTTCGTCAGTTTTGTTCCAACTTAAACAAATTAAACATTTTCATAAAACTTTGGAAAGATTAGGTTTAGTGACGTTCATTAGAATTGTTTAAGTGACTGTTGCAATTTCAGTGGCATCTGGATCGCCATACTCCTTCGGAGAAACCCCACATATTCTCTGTTTGAATGCTTCTTTCAGTAAAATCTGTTAAAATTTTTAAACAAGCATAAGTTCTGCTTTCTCATAAATTCTCGAAATTAACTGATAAATCGTCTCCGTAATTCTGGCTTTAGAAAACCTACTACTATTGAATCATGGATGTTTCTATCAATTTATGCTATGATATATAAACTGTGTATCATGCACGCTGTAGCGATATTTTAGTCGAACAGCTCAGTCACAGCTATTGAATTCTGAATCGTTAATAGATATTTGAACTGTTACTTAACTATTTTTTGTTAAATTATATTGAGGAAATGAAGCTGAAGGTTCAAGAGTTTCAATTATGCATTTCATTTGCTAAATTTAACTTCTGTTCTTAATGAACATAAGTGCATTTTTAAAAACTGCATTCTGAAGTCCTTTCTGCAGATTTCAAGATTTTGATTTATTTAAAAGTTTTAACATTAAGTGAAAGTTTTTCTTTACTTGAAAAGTTTTCTTCTCTTACTTGAAGAATTTGAAGGACTCGAGATTTGAAAGATTCGAGAATGCTTTAAGAATTCGGATTCGCGAAAATTAAGGAAAATTCTTGAAACATCGATCTACGTGTACAATATATTAATCAACTGTTTACATAAAAAATGTGTATTTATCGCTAAAAGTGATATAATGAAAAAACTGCAGTTGTCTTGTTTTAAATTATCAGTTCGTTGTGTTTATTCCGCTGCTGAGTTTTGATATTGTGTTTCTTCCGTTGCTGGCTTCCCGCTGATTAAGGCGGATTTGAGGTCAACATGGTTTTATCGTTTTGAAAAAGTAAATAAATTCGAATTCACGAGATTAAAAAAGCAGTTTGATTATCTATTCATAGCATTGTAATTACATTTTTTATTCAAATCAATATCAAACAGAAGAGAAACTTACCCAAGTATTAGCGCATGGAAAGAACATCCCTAATGTAAAAACACCCAGCATAGGACCACCAACTATTCCGTGTATAGTTAAGGCAGCCTGAAAGCGATTAAATGGGATATTACATATCAAGCATTTAAAAACAGACTAAGAGTTTTGAATTTCTATTGTACGAAAAAGTTTAGAAAGAAATTACTAACTTGTAGTACGCCGCCTAGTTGTTCTGCCACGAACACAAGAGCTATTGACAGTAATCCGTAAGTCAGAGCTGTAAACAATTAAAGAACTATTAAGAGATTGAGAATGTTTCATTTGTAAATTTCTCACATTTTAACTTAATTGTTTAATACTTCTAGGTGTTATTGCTCTAATTTCGCTCAAAGATGGCAAAAGCAAAATTGAAGTTTCAGACAGTTCACAGGGCTTAAGAGTTTTCGTTTACCTTCCAATTATTATAATTATAATTAACAATCCGTTGGAAGGCAGGATTTCCCCCTTGGTGTACAGCGTCCGTTTCTCGAGTGTTAAAGCCGCTGTGCTCAACGACGTGAAACAATATGTTTCGCATAATTTTATTTTCAATAAGTAAGATAATTTGGTTCCTTCAGAACAGGAAATTCAAAAACTCAACATTGCATTCGCAGAGAATCGAACCATGTATTTTCCATTTATTTCGCTGCATGTACTTAGGATTATATACAAGGACATATAAAAGAAATTTTTTAATTCATTACATTTCCTTGTGCTACATCCCTTCCCAAAGGGCGACTGGAGAAAAGAAGTTAGAATTATTCAGGCAAAATCAATGTGGAAAAGAGTATCAAATAACTGTTATAAATAGAAAAAAATCGGAAGTCGGACTTTGCCAGTTTGTAGTTCTAACCCTACAGCACTGCTCTGTTGGCATTTGAAACAAAATACGCATCCATTATGCTCAATAACAAATATTCATTACTGCAAGTAAGTGAAGATGTTCTGGTTTCAGAATCAATATTACATTTTTTCTACATATTCTCTGCAGTACCATATTTAGTGTAATGTATTTCAATAAAAATGTCTCAATAATTAATATGAAACACACAGGCATTTAACAACCGTTAAGTACTTCTGTGAGAAAATGTTTTTGTGTTGAAAGGAAGACATATTTTTACCTCAGAAAGTAAGATATTGTGAATGCTCAGCAATAAGGAACATCAAGAATAACAAACACATCAGGAAAGAGGACTATATTTCATTTTTTAAATTTCAGTTGTTAGAGCTGCTGACAATACTGACTAAATGATATTAGGAGTGAATTTACGGGATTGCGTATGACGCAAAGAAGTTCCCAAATCATTAAATAATTATTAAAATGGTTAACATACTTTGAATCATACGTTAAAGCGCCCCGCCCCCCAGATTCAAGCGAGACGAGACCGTCATTTCATTAATCCGCCACTATATACTGTATACGTAGGACCAAATTAAAAATCTAATATCTTGTGGCAAACATTCCAATGAATATATTTTGAAAACTACAGATTAATAGTTTAATTAAAAAAGAAAAATATAACAATGTATTGAAGTGAAAACTAAAGATAACCAGCTAAAGTAATAAGCAGGAATGACTGACATGCATGATTCCCCTTGAATAATTTTTCAAAGGGAATCGTGCGTTAACCTATTAAGAATGGTAAAAATATGCTAACGCGTAACTGAGATGCTTTAGAAAAGAATGATATTTTATCCATATGATGGCTTTAAGAGGTTTGACTTACATATATTAGTACTTTAACGAATCTTTTGAGTTCCTAAAATAACAAACATTCTTATTTATCTGGGCTCATAAAGAGCAACAATGGGAATTGCAGATGGCGCGGCGACGTGCTAGAGTTATTTTTTCCCCAACTGATGTCTTCAGTTCATCAACTTTTCTCCCCACTTAGAATGATTCGAAAAAGTAAAAATGGAAATCAGCTGCCGTGCTTTCAAAGATGACAAGCGCAGTTTGTTTATTGCAAAACCCTCCATACATTTAGCGTTTTAATATAGTATAATAGTCACATTTAGTATTTTATATCCTTCAAAATCAAAACGGGATTCTGAGTTGAACGCCACAGGAATATATTCTTCTTCTTGTTTATTTATTTTTTATAGTTTTGTCTTATATCCAAACAGACAACTGACATCCTTTTTTTATCTGGCTAGGTTCTTGCTTACTTTATGTATTTATGTTTTATTTTAGATTTTTTATTATACCTGTCCACCAAGTATGCGTTTGATTTGGAATGAAGTTATTTGTATTCCCTTATAATAACCCTAAGAACATAAAAAAAGTTGTTGCAACTCACAGCAATAATCGGTCTTCAAGAGACAGAAAAAAAATTGCTCGACACTTAAAGACGTTATGGAAAGTGCCAACTTTAGGCCTACTAGCCACGTGCTGGACAGCTTCCTATTATTTATCGCATCGTTCATTTAATATGTGACCCTGACTCTGACTGATCATTATTTCAATGTGCAATCTCAACTTCTTGAAACAAAATATACCTATGTGCCTCAACTTATCTTGGGAAATACATACGGTATAAATCTGCAGTTTACAAAATTTATAATATTACGTGTACATGCATTTAAACGTTTATTTCCACTGTCATTTTTCAGGTTTAAAGTACTTTTTAAAGGGGTACCTGCAGCTTTTGCTTTCAAAAAGTATTTTTCTATTCTGGTCATTCTAATATGACATGCTTTAATTCATAAATAACACTCAATAGTGTTCACTTTTCATGTTTTATATGAGAAATGACTAAATGGTGGCCCATGGACCATATATGGCTTATTAGCGATTTTTTATATGATTATGGCCTAGACTAATAAAATTTATTATTTCTGATTGCAGATTTCAAAATATATGCATATTTTCATATTTAGCCATCTTATGATGATTAATATAAAAAACTATTTCATGATTTAAAGATCAACATTATTACTGAAAACTAATTTCGGAGAATTTCATCTTTGCATGGAGCGCTCACGCTGTTCTTATTAACAAGTATTATATTTTTAGCCTTTACATTTAGAGGCCTCAGATCTTTATTTATTATTTTTATTTATTTATTATAAGTCCAAAGGGATTTGAATCCCGAAGGACTATTAGTTTCGTTTTGGCATTTTGCGTCGGACTCATAAATGTCGGTTCACTTTTCAAACTGTTGCCACAAAATGTTAGAGTCCTGCATTATATTTGAAGAAATTAAATAATGAAAAATCTGCATAAATGTATGTATATTTCTCGTATTGTGATAAAACAACGGTACACAGAGTCATCGAATTTTGAATAACGTAATCCTCCAACGAATATGAGCATGTGGAAGACCAAATTTGAAATTTGAAATTTGTTTTATGATCGATTTCCTATTTTTTAAAACTTTGACGAATTTTTGATTAACAAACCAACTCAAGGATTTCAAAGCGAGCAATGGCAACGTTGTGCAGAAAAAAAAAACATTTTTTATCTCCAGCGCGTGAGTCTCTGTATCGGAAATTCTAAAGATATGCTCGTTTTTAAAACTATTTTTGCGATATTGCTGTTGCACTGGATCTTATGGTTTAAGTGCGAGGAACATGATATTTAATAAAGAAAGGTAACACACAAAATGTTAAAAAACGCGCCCTTTGGACGTAATTTAAAATCTGAAACATTTCAGATTTTTTTTTTTTTTTTTATTTATTTTATTATTTTTATTTTTAGCCTCAGATTTTTTAAACATTTTCAGCACAAACTGTATTCTGAGGTAACGCTTTTTGAATTTCTTTGTTAATTTTAATTTGGATTTCTCTGTTGTTTTGTCTGCAAAACCATTTGCAAAGATTATTTTAAATCACAACCATAAGAATATTGAAATACAGAGGGTGCTTACACATTTTTAGTGCAATTTTCGATAAAGAATTAAAAAAAAGGAAATGTTTTGGAATCAAAATTTCTGGCAGCAAGTTATCATATGAAATAAGGAATAACGTCTGCTTCTTTTAAATTAATTTTTCTTCTAAAATGTCTCGTGTAAACAAGCTGTGGATTGTAACATATCTTTTTGGTCTTTCTAAAGATAAAATTCCTATTTCATAATTCAAACACGTTGTGAAGTGCATGGGATTAAAATTTCGAAGTTCAAAATAAGCAGCATTGTTAATCAAAAAGGGAAAAACGGCCAGTCATTATTTCTACACGGAAAAAAGACTCCGAATGAATACACGAAAAAGGTACGTACTTTTTCTAATGTTTATAAAATTGAATCATTGGTGACAAGAGAAAAGTCCACCGAAGCAGAAATCATTTGCAGAGTCTTTAAATGCATTTGTAGCCGTAATAAATAAAGTAATAAACCAAGATTTAACAACTTAAAGAAACTAAAAACTGAATGTTGATCAACATATGCCGAGACATGTGGTTCAACACAAAACGATTCGTAGAACACCGTATAAAAATTCTTCAGCAGGACATTAATTAAAATATAGTGCGACCTTTTATGAAACCTGAGTTTACCGAAATGACTGCAAGAAAAGAAGGTTTATTTATTAAACTCTTACAAAATAAAAAGTTTTACCGGATAAAAGATTATACTATCCAGGAAAGTGAAAAAACTATTGTAACGAAAAAATATTGATTTTGAAAAATTAGCAAAAAATGTTTTAAACAATAAAAACAAAATATTAGTCAATCTCATCTTTAAAATAATCTTAAAAGATAATCAATAATTTTTTAAGAAACATGAAACAATGTAGATTAATTATTAATAGTTTAATGTTCCAATTATTCAATTCACGCCATGTCCGTGAGATTACATCTGATCCTCAGAATGAAATCGGAGGCCATAAATGAAGCTATTGCCACCCAATGTTATAACAACATTCACTTAGCTTTCGTATTATGAAAGCGTATTTATAGTCAACGCAATGAAGAGAATCATTTAAAATCAGCTTGCACGTCTTATGATTATTCTGCAATAAGCGTTACATATCGTTCTCAAAATTTACGAAAGAAGTAGCCATATGTTTAATGTACATCATTTCAGAGACTTTTCTCCAACTCTTTTACGTGCATTATCTGTTTCAAAAATACAACCCCTTGATAAGTATAAATTTTATAACAATATGCAATTTGTTACAGACTATTGCTCTTTTTTTTACACACTGGAGCAGAATTATTGTTTGAATTTAGCGAATTTCGGAGAACATAAATAAATATCAGAAACTGTTACAACTGTGGAGGCGTAATAACAATATGCAATTTGTTACAGCCTATTGCTCTTTTTTTTACACACTGGAGAAGAATTATTATTTGAATTTAGCGAATTTCGGAGAACATAAATAAAAATCAGAAACTGTTACAACTGTGGAGGCGTAATATCTCTTATTTATTTTTAGTACTTATAAAAGTGCATTCCTCATCAGCATATCAAAGTAAATCATTTGAAAATAATTTGTGCTTTCTAATTTAAATTTCATTTCTAAATTTTATTTGATCTTTCTAACAGCAATTTATAATATACACTCTTTTGCAAAAAAATCGAAGCACCATGAAGGAAGTGGTTGTTTTTGATGAAATTGAATATGTATATAGCTCATACACAGATAATGAAATGATTAAAAAATCAAGGTCATAGTTCACGGCTCACAGTCACCCATTGAGTGTTCAAATTAGTAGTTGGTCGAACCGCCCCTGGCGGCAATGCATGCTTGAATTCGTCGAGGTAAGGAGTGGTAGAGGTTCCTAATGTTATCCTGCGACACATTCTGGCAGGCATTCATCAGTTGTCGTTCCATATGTGCGATATTTTGTGGTGCCCGAACCTGGCGGCCTACCATGTCTCAGACATGCTCGATTGGTGAAATGGCTGGTGACCTTGCGGGCCAAGGAAGAGCATCAACCGCACGGAGACAACCCAGAGAAATGCGAGCGGTATGTAGCCTGGCATTATCTTGTTGGAAAAGGGCCCTAGGATGCCGTACCGGGAAGGATAATACAACCGGTCGCAGGATGGTATCAACATATCGTTGAGCTGTTAAAGATGTACGGAGGATGACTAAATATGACCTGCTGTCATAATAAATAGCGCACCACACTATCACATCAGGTGTTAAGGCTGTATGCCTTTGTAAAACAAAAGCTGATTGGGATCGCTGTCGCCTTCTTCTCCAGAAACGAACACGGTGGTCATCTGCTTCAAGAGTGAAGCGGGATTCATCGCTGAATACTACACGATGCCAGTCTGATGGCAGCTATGATGATCGGCTGTGACACTACTTCAGACGACTCCGCCGTTGTGGGGTCAAAGGCAAACGTCTTATAGGCCTCTGTGAGCGACAAGACAAGCGCCGTGAGATGGTGAACTGTCCACGGGAGGTATAAACGTGGCTGTAGTGCGTTGAATAGTCGACAATGATACCGTTGGGGCGGTTCGGGCATGGCGAACAGTCATCCTATCTTGCCTCGCATTTGTGCTCCTTGGCCTTCCAGAGCCTTCATTTCGTCGGCAATTTCCTTGTAGCAACTACTGCCAATAACTTTGCACAGCAGTTTCTGTACGCTGTAGGTGGCGGCCTATTGTTCGGTATGACCACCCAGCTTCACGCAACCCTACAATGCGACCACGTTCCAAGTCGTTTCGTTGTATGTAAAATTTTCGATATCATCGTAATGGCATCTTCACTTGCTTCTTTTGCGGAATTACAATGGCAGCAACAAAAAAAGATAAATTTTCCGCCTCTGTTACTAGTTTCATATTTTGCGAACTGCGCTCTAGAAATGCCCGCTATGATCGAAATTCCAGTTCATTTGTCTTGAAACTTTGACCATTTGCATGTTCAATCAAGATGTTTTTGCATACCAAAATTTCGTCAGGATCGCGAAAGTCCTTCTTGGTGCTTCGATTTTTTTTGCAAAAGAGTGTACATTATTTTATACAATTAGGAGAATGGATAAACATAAGACTTTAAAATCATAAAATGTGCCGATTCATTTTTAAATTTATGTCTTGGGTACACTTTTGTCTGCCTCAAGCATAAGATATAATGGAAGGTTTTACACTAGACTGCAACTGTTGTTAACCTTTCTTTTTTCACAAATTTAATTCGAGTGATAAGTTTATTTTTCAGATAGTAATGCACTTTCTGATATTTTGATATTTTTCTTCTGAAAAAACATTTACGTTGCAAAAAGAATTGAAGGAAAAAGTACGCCAAAGATTTCAAAATTGAACTTTTTTAGTTGAATTTCAGGTTTGTTTGCTAATGAAAAATTAGTCTTATCACTTTATCAGCCTTATCATTTCGGTAACTTAAGATATTTTTTCATTCATTTAACATTAAAATTTCCTCAGAGATATCAGATAGTAGTCTGTAGTTTTCAGGTTGCAAGATGCTTTTAAGTATATTTTTCACGCATCCAATGATAATGACTTCACTCGTAGAAAATAAGTAACATACGACAGTACAGGTAAAGGAAAAATTTCAGCAGCTCTGATTTAAATTATTATTGTGTCATTATTATTATAACTATCATTTATTATCACAACTTACTCAAATGACCAAAAAAAGTGAATGAAAGTTGTAGTATTTTTCACATGTTTTAATTTATTTAATTTGAGCCAAATGTTCTGCCTTCTTTTCTGTCAAGTATTAAGTATTTACCTGTCAACATTTTTAATATCAAATGTTCTGCTATTTCAGATTATAAGAAATAGTTTCTTACCAAGGATTTTGGTAATTCTTGTTGCCCATACTTCTTTCAGATCTTTGAAAATAAAGGGTTTGATGAAATCTTCAAGCGTCACGGCAGCTAAAGAATTGACGCCTGATGAAACTGTACTGATTGGGAGAGAAAGAAATATACGAAAAGTAAACTAACATACTTCTGTCAAGGTCAAAATTAAAAAAAAAAAGGATCATTTTTAGAAATTTCTTAGAATTTACTTTATTTGCTATGATTTCTTAATAGTTAACACCCCCTCCGCTCCAAAATTTACAAACGTCTACATTAGGTAATGAATCATTAATACATACTTTCAGAAAGGCAAGTCAATAAAATTTTATTTATTAATAAGTGATAAGAGCAAGGAACAATATGCTCCCATAGTACCCATAATACCTACTTATGAAAAGAGCAAAATTTTGTGCTTGCGATTTTCGACAGAAATAACTATTTCACTCATTTGTGTTTAAAGAAAAAAAAGAAGAAAGGGAATTAAAGACTTTACATCTTAATATCGAGATGCTATTTCGGCTTTTGAAATGGAATCATGATTATGTATGATAAGACACTGACGACATATTTTTGATAAGATAATATTCCCAAGATTTTTCTCACTGCTTTGTTTTCAAATGAGATTTTTGTGATGATATTTCCTCTTCGATAGAGTTTCCATTTGCGGCATGTTCAGGGTATTTTTTACAAAACTAGATGTGAAGGGCAAAACCCCTTTATCAAGGCTCTTGCTATTCCCATTCTTTTCAGTGCAACAGTTGACAATAATGGTAATTAGAAAAAGAACTTAATGAAACAATCTAATAATTTACTATTATTTAAAATTTAGTATCATTTAAACAAAACGTCTGTTCCATCTTCAGTTTCCTTTCCATCTATACCAATTTCATTTTCACGGTTTCAGTTTAAGAAATTTACTAATTTTAATCCTTCAATGCATGGGGATGCATATATGAATCATACCAATTTTTACTGAATTTAGCAATAAAAAAATTACAAAGCAGACGGTTAACTGGGATGATTTTTATCTTTATATCCATATCAATGCTTAGCTATTCTTTTTACTTTTTACTTCCTTGTACGAAATAAAAAGGAAGTATTGAAATCGCGAAAAGTTTCAGGCAGCGTATTTCAACGAAAATATCCATTTTGACCGCTATCGAATGCAATTTAACGATATTTTTGCGTGATATCTGTACGTAAGGACAGAATAAAAGACTCTTTTCCTCCAAAAAACTAAAAAACTGCTTTAAAATGAATTCTGAAGAAAATTTTTCGTGGCGACTGTACGAACGTATGTACGTACGTGCGTACGTACGTATCTCGCATAACTCAAAAACGCGTAGCCTCAGAACGTTGAAATTTTGTATGTAGGACTGCTATAACATGTAGATGTGCATCTCGTATTTTGGTTGCAATCGGCCGCACCAAACCATATTTATAAATATATCCACTCTGTTATCCGGCTCAGTGATCTCAGTTTCTTTACTCTTATATGTTTGTAAATTGTACATTTTTTGCTTTAAAAATGATTGAATTATGTTGTTTTTATTTTCCGGTTAAGGGTTTTATGCCTTTAGTAAATCTGTATGCAGTATTTTTAGAATTATCAACAGTTTTAAAATTGTTTAAGTGCCGCTAAGCCTAATTTGATGGCGGCCATTGCTCTTATTTACATTTGAAACAGCTGAGTAGCGGATTTGTTGTCAATCTAGAGAAACTTAGCTTCGCAACAACAAAGATAACGCTTTCATTTATTATTTAAGTCATGCTTAATCCTTTCTGGAATTTTTTTCGAGGAAATAAGCGTTTAAGATTTACTTCGTAATTTTTAATATAGATATTTTGAGTTTTTATGTATTTTTGCCTTCTCGCGAAGTGAGAACTGAATTAATTAAATGAGAAATACTCAATCGTCTGTGAAAAACTGATTGTTTTTCGTTTTGTTTGCTTAATTTTTTTATACATCATTCTAGCTTTATTATAGTATTTGAATAGAACATGTGGCAACGATTAGATAATTCTATTCTTTAAATAATATAAATTTTGTGCATTCTGAGTTATAATATGAACGAAATATAATACTGTTAAGTAAACCTAGCGCTATGGTAAACAAAGTGAATTTTAAAGAATGCATTTATTCTATTGTGGTTTATGCGCTGTTGTCGAAGTAGGCTTAATTCAATCTAATAAGTTTAAATAAAATGCAAGAAAAAATGCGTATAATTTAATATTCCGTACAAGGAAGTCATGTGGTGTACACATCGGATTTTTTTCTAAATTGTTATATTTCCTAGTAGATGGCAGCATTTATTTCATTAGTGCCAAGAACATATAATTCATTTCTGTTGTCTTCAGTGGTCAAGTTATTTTTCCCGCCTTCCTAGCATGCCTTCGTAGTGTAATGGTCAGCACACTGAGCCGGTATTTCAGAGGTCCGTAGTTCGATTCCTGGCGAAGGCGATTGCTCATTTTTCATCTCTACGTCTTTTCCAATTAACCTAATGTCTCTACAAAGTTAGCTTTGTGTTATTCATAAATTCGATATTAGGGGCTTAAAAATTTTAGTCTGTATAGCTGAAGGCATGTACTTTTCACTTCTATGTTGAGAATTAACTACAGAATTGTTTTAAAATGAAATATGTCAAGTGTTCTGTTTCATTCATATATGCATCACTATGCATTTATGATTAGATTTCACTCTAGAGTGCAGTGTGATGCGTAATTGAATCAGGTTAAAATTTAGAATGGATTTTTAAATATACGACTTCATAATACCTTTTATTTCATGATTTTTTTATATCAGCATTACTCACTCGATATTTGCATGCATTGTTGTTATTTAGAGTCATAAAATATTAATTTTATGTCTCTAATTATGTAGTATGTACTATATTGTTTGTTTGTATTAAAAATTCCTTTATTTTTTTATTTATGTTCATTTACTGGGTAATTGTTTTCAAACTAGTTTTTATTTGGTCTCGATGGGTTTGCTCACAAGTTTGAAGTATACTCAGGCCCAAAATGTCTACCTCAAAATCGCTTAGAAAAGAATGCAGAATTGGGCAACAATGTAAAAGTTGTGATTAAACTTTGTAGGGAGATTCCTCGAAATCAAAATTTCAAATTGTATTTTGACAAGAGCAACTGAAAAGAGTCGAGGAGAACAAGCGTTGAATAGATTGCAGACTGCGGTGGAACTGAAATATGTTATTTAGTGTAGAAAAGCAATAAGAATGTGCTCCTGTTATCTACGTTTGCTAGAAATACCCCATTGAATAGATATCTAGATTTGATAGGAAGAAAAAAGAGACAGTTACTGTGGACTGCCCTAATGTTGTGAAACGATGCAACAAATACATGGGGGGGGGGGCGTAGATATGCTGGATAGCCACATAAGAAGATACAAAATAACTCTGAGATAAAAAAAAAGTGGTACATGACATTTCTTACTACTTCTAAGACCTTGCGGTCACAGATTCGTGGCTGCTGTACAAAAGAGTGTCTACAGAATCGAACAAACCCCAAGGATTTGTTAAACCTGTCCGCCTTTCGGTTTGAGTTATCCATTGGACTGTGCAAATTGGATGAAAGTTCAGTTCCTAAGCGTGGAAGGCCGAGCGGTCTTTTACTAAATGTTTACAATGTGAAAAGACAGAGGGGTCCTGCATAAAACAGTCCTCCAACCTGCATCATGCAGGATAAAATTCAACATGTTCTCATATGGAACGAAAATCGCACTCGTTGTAAAATTCCAAATTGCAAATTCCAAAAATTTATTGGATGTGAAAAATGTATTGCAGCATTACGTATAAATAAGGGTAGAAATTGTTTCGAAATTTTCCGTATATTGCAAATTGTACAATAAATAAATATACATGTACAAATTATTTGATTCGTCATTTTTATTTACATTTTCACCACTGTTTTAATTTTTATAAAGTCTGAATATGATTAATTCGAATTAAGTATTAATAAAATTTTAATTAAAGTCAGTATCTTCTAAAAAACAATAAATAATTAAGTATTTTATGCCAATATTTATTAAATATATTATTGTAAATGATTTTTTTTCATGTGGTTTATAGGAGTATTTTACTGCTAAATGCATGACGATGCATATATGCATCAAACCTAAAAATTCAAAAAATTACCAATAAAGATGTTAAATAATTTTTTTAAATATTTTTACATATTTATTTAAGCCATGAGCATGAAGAAATAAAATGTTTGGTGAAATATAAAAAAATCATTCATTGAAGACTCCGGAACAAACTCGGATAAAGAGAAAAACTAAACTGTTGTTGCGGATTTTATTGCCTACTTTAATTAATTAAGCTACAGAGAAAAGATTAAAATAATGCAATAAAATTATTTATCAGCTTGATAATCAACTAAACGACCACGCTTAAGTTAATAAAAGAATTCTGATATTCACATGGCATCAGGAGCGCCAAATATGGTACTTGCACAATACAAGACTGTATAAGTTGGCATTAGTTCACAAATCGAGGTTTCACTAAATGAAATGAGTGTTAACTGAGAATGCAAAACAACGGACAAATGCTTGATTTTTGCAGAAATTCATTAAAAAAACTAAACTAAGAAATTGAAAATTTTATTCCTGTTTCAAATTATTAAAATCTATACTTGAAAAAAGTATTTAAAATTGTACGCATTTTAATTACTATAAAATTTAATTACTATATATTGGGGACTTGCCTGAAAGTGGAGCCTGAGCTTCCACTAGTAAATCTGGCCTTGGCTGTGTTTACCTGTAACTATATCCATTTACAATAGCGATTTAAGTATAATTAGAGACTGTCAATGAGAGTACTTTTTCTCTTTCTCGTGTGTATGAAAATGAAGGAATCTGATATTTTAACTTTATAATACAGTAATAAAAATTGTTGTATATTTATCGCGTAATAGGATGCGTAATGATGTCTATATTGCGTAATATCATGCACAAAAACAGTAGATGATAGAATAAAAATCATATTTGACAAAGTATTGCTCAAGCAATGGAATATCGGTTGAAACCGAGCATTGTATTTATGCTTATATTCCACGTTGCCTTGCAGAAGGCAATAAGTACTAAGGAGTGTATGGGCTTACAAATATTATATTACTAATTGCTATTGCTTATCCTCACTAACATAACAGTGGCTTCATTGTAACTTAAAAAGATAGTAAAAAATCACTTTAGAAAGGTAACAGCTGTTTGCAACTTTAATCTAGGATATAAACTCTAGGATATAAACAATCATTATGTATTTTGTTCCGGAGCAGTAACTTTTAATTCTTTCGATGCTTAGTCTTCGATATAAGTAAAACATTATATGTAACTAAATATTGATAATAGATACCTAAGAGCACCACTAAATATTCCTGACACGAAAAGTCCGGGTATTCCAGGAAAGGATCCAAGTGTTTCCATAACAAAACGGGGAAAGAGCTGAGAAAAATAAAAAATAAATTGCATAAACGACAGAAATAGGGTTGAGATTAGTAAGTGTCATTCATCATATTAATGATTTATATATAATAAATACAATTTCGCTGTAAAATAAAAGATTATAAATTTTAAAATTTTATTATTTATAAATTAATTAAATAAACATTTAAAATCTTGAGAAACTATTCTAAAAGATTACATTTAAATATACATCTTCAGCCTGCCTTTTAAAACGCTAAGAAATATGGAATTACAAATATATTCTCATGCAATTCGTTATACAGTGTGACGCTGATCATATCTTTTCCCATTGCCAGTTTACATTCGCCTTTCTCATTGTCTTCATTCAGTAGCAGGGATGATTGAGCGTTTATGGTGATCTCAAAAGACGTAGTTGACAAGGATTAGATGCTTTTATTCCAATTCATCAAAAGACATGAAATATGATACTTTCTTGATAATCTTCAACCCTGTCAACAAACGCCCTTGCAAAAATTTTCTCCACCAAGGCTTGACATTTAAGATAATACATTTTTCGATTGAAAAGTTTCACAGGTTAATTTTACAAGATGCTATGACAAAAAAGGAGAATTATTTGAAATGTTATGATGGAGAAACAAAAGTATAACATTCCTAAAGTATATGGTAGATAAAGACATAAAGACGCATTCTATTTAATAACTAAATTTGGTTGATCTAGATATGTAACACCTGATTTTTATATTTTTAATTCTTTTTGTTTGTTATTTTCTCTTATGCCTTTATGATTTGAGTTGTTTTTTTCCTTTATATTATTTAAAAATGTCTTGTATTCGTTTTTCTTTGATATATCGCGTTTCTATTGCTCTGGAAAACTAAAAAATTTTTATTGTTATTTATATATTATTTTTTATTGTATTTAAAAATACATACATTCATTATTTTGAATTAAATTTATATATTATAAATATTTTATGAAAATGAGATTAATACATTATTATTGAGCTGTTAACATAATATTCAAATTTGAAAAGTATAAAATAAATTTAGGCCGAACCCCCCCCCCCCCCACCCCCCCCACCCCCCCCCCCACCCCCCCCCCCCCCCCCCCACCCCCCCCACCCCCCCCCCCCCCTATATAAATCATTAAAAAAAGAGGCGACCCCCCCCCCGCCCCCCCCCCCCACCCCCCCCCCCCCCCCCCCCCCCCCCCCCCCCCCCCCCCCCCCCCCCCCCCCCCCCCCCCCCCCCCCCCGCCCCCCCCCCCCCCCCCTTAAAGACCCCCCACCCCCCCCCCCCCAGACAATCACCCCGAAATCGAGAATCAGGAAATGAAAAGAGTAGATGAAATAAATATAGAACATTTATGAGGAAAATGAGAGAGAGAAAAGAAAAAAGAGACAGAGAAAATACATTGGGCTGGATAGTGAGTTTTGAAAATTGATTTTTTTTTATTATTTGTTGTGTGTTCATGTTCGGTATGCTTAGACTATGACACGGCGCAGACGAAGAGCAAATTCTGCAAAACTCCCTGAAGCGTAAAGATATCGGTGCTTTCAATGACCTCCGGAATGACCCTTTTGTTCTCAAAGATGGTTTTGGGAGTTATTTACCTAAATTTTGATGTTGTTTTCAAAAAATGAGTCTCAAGGGTTGAACTCAGGAGAACAACGGTGATTAAGCGATTCTCAGACTCAAATACTGGACTGCTCATGTATTTTTCGTCTTTCAAGCATTTCGAACCTTAATATAAAAGAACGTTTAATATTTTGATTAAAAAGTTTGGAAAGATTCGTTTTAACTTCCAAAAGAAACTTGCATTAAAAAAAGATCTCGGTTATTGTAATTTCGGACTTGAATAATTAATATCGCCTCTTGTTGGTCATGAATTTTCTGAAAAGTATATAGCATTTTATGTTTAGAATTTATTTATACTATCTCTTAAAATAACATTATTTTCTGTTCTTCTGTGATTTTAAAAGATTATAGAAAAATGTAAAAATAAATTGAAATAAATCTCCAAATTTAAGACTATAAATTCTGCATTTTATTTGATAATTTTCTTTTGTAACAGCATTTTAAATAAAATTTACGTATAAAAACCGTTAAAGTTATTTTGTGGTTGAGTCTCATTTTTAAGGTCCTTTTCATGTTTTAATAAATTTAAATTTAACACCCCGCAAAAAATGTCACAATCACACTCATGTGCAGTACATAATTTATCAAAAGTTAATATGTATGTTTCTTACATTTTTAGCAAAATAAATATTATATAGAACTAAATTTCGATAGCGGTTAATGTGTTTTAAGCGTAAGACTGTCTTTTTCACTGTAATTTAACATGAGTATATAAATTTTACGTTTCTTCCAAAGTGAAATTAATATCAAATTCCAAGTTAAAGAAATTTTATCATATCACATTTTATTGCATTAAGATTATGATGTATTTTATCAATCTTTTTATCGTTTTTTTTATTACTTCCGAAAATCTGTTTTAGAAAAATTTTATTTAAAGTACTTTACCGCTATTTGCGAAAATGCTTTGCAATCAGTTTAACTTCCAGACGTCTGTGTAGTGTCAAGTCATCTGTTAATAGTAGTGTCTTTCCGCTTCTAAATACCATTGACACATGACTTTATTTATAGAAAAATTTATTTTTCATATAGCTGAAAGCATCAGTATGAGAAATTTGTGTGAAATTTTGCATGAACTAGTATAGTGTTCATATCAAAACTAAAGAATCATAAAGAATGTGTGGGATATTACAGTGTACTGTAATTACAAAGTCTTCTCGGTAATGCGCAGATTCTGTCATTTCGGGATTTAAAAGTAAGATAATTCATTTATCCAAATACATTAAACGCTTTCCTTTGAAAATACGAAAACTTTAAAAGCCTGTCTGGATCTAAGTGGATAGGACTTCTAAACACTGGTAACTTTTCACGAATACGATTATAGTCAACAAATATTTAATTACAAATGGTACGTACAGACCTCGGCGATTATAAATGGTACGCACTGACTACATAGACATTTAGTAGTTTTTAACTTATGTGTAATGTGTGTGTGTGTGTGTGTGATTATGGCAAAGCCTCAAAGGCTATCTGCCTAAGGGGAGGGATGCCTTCGTGGAGGACTTTCTAAGGGAAACTGGCTCGTATACATGTTACACATGGGGAAAACCACGAAAACGCCCATGCAGCCAGCCCGTTCGCGGGATTCGAACCTCGGACCGAACTACCAGTGTTCAGAGACTTTACCGCTCGGCCGCTGGTGGGCCCTATGTGTAATGAAACACCAATTTTTTTCAAACATTTCAACAGGGATTCATCCTCCCTAAGGCGGATAATTTTGAAAGATTTTTCAGAACTGAATCGAATTTTAAACAGGATTATATATCTTGGATTATATTTATTAAGTTTGTGAAATTTGGAATCTCTTAACCTCAAGTAATTGAACTTTTGGTTTAATAACTGAACCCGAAGAAGTGTTTTTCTCAAACGTGAGCTGATATCTAAAATTATGTTTATTTAATTTTAAGTCAGAAGATTCAGTTAAACAAATGTTTTAAATTTTATATTAAGCCTGTCTGGATCTAAGTGGATAGAATATTAAGCACATAAAATACAAAAAGCATCATTTAGTTGCATAGTGCACATACATAAAAGCGATGAATCTTCTGTAAAATGATTGCTGTCAGTTACAGATTATTTTGAATTTTTTTGGTGGTATGTAGTCTTCTTAGAAATGTGATGTTCCACATTGATACTTATGTTCTTAGAAATACTCTTTAGTTTCATAGGTGAACATCTTAGAGAGACATTCGCTACCAGAGGTTTTACTAGGCTTTTGAAGAAATTAGAAGGCCTGGGAAACAATTGCATGGACAAATAAAGAAATATAAATATATAGTAGACATTATGGAAATATATAGATGCTAAACCATGCAGAAAGATATGAAGATTTTCTTTAAAAGGAGAAGGAAAAAAAAAACGAATTGTTTTTTAGCTTGGCTCAAAATGTTGTTTTTGAAACCGGATTGTCTAAATTCAGCTCTCTTACCTGATCTGGTGCATCTATCATCTTGGTGCCTATGGGGTCGCAAGCTGCATAGAATACGTAAATAACAAGTCCTGATAAGCTGGTTATCAGAATCAAAATAATGAGAGCCGGGAGGTTAATCCACAAGCACCTAGAATACAGATTATTCGAATAAATAACATATTTGTAACACGTAGATGTAACTTTAACCTGGACTTTAATGTATTGTGTGTAAAAAGTGAAGGATATTGCAAGAATAATTCCATTAACGTATAAAAATTGGACATCCTAGAGAATATTTTTAGAATTGAGTTGTTTGCTTGGAATAACGGAAATAAAATTCGAAACAGTTTTTTTTATGAATCTGGTAAGTTTTAACAATTAAAAGTACAGTTTTTTAAATAGTTTTTAATGAGAACGGGACATCTGAATCCTCGAATCTCACGAATTAATGAAAAATTTAAAATTCGAGGATTCGAGTCGTAGTGGCTTATGTGTCATGCAAATATTTAAAATTTTTTCTTAAACACCTTTCAACGTTTTTTCAATGTTTTAACTGAAAAATTTGGAAACAATCATTTTATTGAAGTCCAGTAAACGTTCATCAAAATAAGGGCGGACGCACTTGTTTTAATTTTAGCGAACCTGAATCAGTATTATTTTATCGTTGCGGCTATGAGGGAACTAACTAACCTGCTAAACGGGCGCCAACAAAAAGCTATTTCTCAAATGGTGAAAGATCTGTCGTTTTTTCCCACTTTACTTCATTCATCGTGAAAAGCACTCTTACACCTTACTTATACTAGCATTCTAAACACATTTAACCCATGTATTAAAAAATTTCATACTTCATACCTAGCAGGAATTCAAATGAAAATCTTAAAGGCTATAAGGTATTTCTCCTGCCTTCTTAGCATGCCTTCGTGGTGTGGTGGTCTGCACACTGGCGCGTATTTCAGAGGTACAGGTTTTGACTCCCGGCGAAGGTGCATTGCTATATTTCTTCATCTTCCTGACTTCAAAAATATCCTTAATGTCTCTACAGTGGCGCCCGAAACTGAAAAAAGGTAATGTTAGATGATTGATTCTTCCAGCACCAGGATTTGGCGATTGGGTTCCCTAAAAACCCCAGTCGCCCTTTAGAAAAGGGGGAGTATATAAGCTATTTCTCCCGCCTTTCTAGCATTCCTTCGTGATGTGGTCTGCACGCTGGGCGCGTATTCCAGAGGTCCGTGGTTCGATTCCCGGCGAAGGCGTTGCTCTCCTAATATCTCTACAAAGTTTCTAATTCATTGGCCTGTGTGTGTATTAAGTGAATTTCAGTTAATTTTTTCAGGAATCTACTTGTTTGAATTTACTAAATATTCTGCAAGTCGTTTGCAATCCAAAGTAACAAAGAATGAAACAACAATATTCCAAAAATGTAGAGCATACGAGTTCCTGCGTCCTTCCATTACATCAAATTTTGCCTTCTAACAATCCTTAGACCATTGAACTCTTTCTGCACTTTAAGTCATTTGTTGCTCTGTTGTAAGAAAACCAAACTGCCTTGCTGTTTATCATTGTTTATAAATTTAAAAAGTCGTCATATATTTATTATTTTGATGCTTAGCTGGTGCTATATAGATATCGCACATTTAAGGTCGCAGCATGTTTTCTCTTTGGGGAATCAGGCAGATATGAATATTAGTTAAATCAGGCAGATATGAATATTAGTATTAGTCAAATTTAGATTATATTTGTGAATGTTTATATAAATATGAGGGAATTCTTTAAAGAAAAATCAACTATAATTGTGAAGCTTTTTTTATGTAAAAATTGGTTGATTGTTTTTAATTAAGGCAAAGCAGAGGACGGACTATTTGCCAAGGGACATTTTTTAGACAAATTGGCTCGTATGGGGGCTATACATGGCGAAAACCACGGAAATGTCCGTGCAACCGACACCTTCATTATGATTTCCCTGCGTCAGACGACCAGTGTGTAACAGGTTTAGCTGTTGACTAGTTTGTCAGAAGCACGCTTGTGTAACTACTGGGAAATATTTATATTACACTTTCATAAATATCACTAGGATAGTTTCGGCACTATTTCAGAACAGATTCATTTCAGAGAAAAACATACCCTTGGGCACCTCGCAAGGATCCTATTGTCAAGTAGCGTTGAATCATTGCTTGGTTTGCTGCATAATTTCCCATCCATGTTACGTACCCACCTACCACTAAACTCCAGAAAGTATGGCGTACAGTTGGATCTAAATCAAACCTGGATTACCAAAAAGAATAAAATTAAGTGCGTTTTACAAATAGTTTACAGCAAATTTTAATACACATCTTTAATAAATATTAAAATAGTCTTCATATATAGAATGGGTCAGAATGTGGCTACATATTTGATCGCATCGTGTAACCATAGTATTATGAATAGGAGAAATGAGAAATTTCTACTAGAAATTTCTCGTTTCAAGATAATGCTATGGAAAGTCAAGCTTTTAAATCGAATAAATTACTAACCACACTCACTTTATTGTTTTGAATTACTCAACATTTCATTCGCTACCAATCCGTATCAATGTTGCTGCATCCGTACTACAGTGAACCTTTCAGGAGATTTTTTTTTCCTGGATGGCTCTTGCTATAAGCAGTGGTTTTCTGTCTTTTTCTACAGGCGACGGCAGCAGTGCTGCATTATAATCATGTATGCTCTGTTTTGTGGTCTTCTTGTCATTCTAAGCAATGATCAGTTTTTTGTCGGGTTATTCTGCACTCGATCAGTTACAGTATGGGCGTTTGTAAATGCAAGTACTCATGTTGCAGTTGTAACTTATTGTCCAATTTTCGGCGCCATCTTAGGTCGAGCACTTGATTTTTATTGAGTGAAAAGTGAAGTTTTAAATTTAATATCGCATACACAGTTTCCTTCTCTAACATACAGTAGCACATTGCATTTACTCCAGACTTATAGCCATATTTCTGACTCATGCTATACAGCTTCAAGGAAGTGTTAAAGAAACTTATTACAAATTTTCCAATTATATAATGATAGTCTTAAAGCGAAAGAATATACTACCAAACTTTTTACTGTGAATGTTTTCAGTTCTCTGTGTACCATGTTTAAGAAGCATAATGATATGGTAGTCTCTCATTTGGTAAAGATATTTTACTTTTGACGAAATGGTGAGTTTGTAAATAGTTGTAATTGTAATTTTTGATTATGTACCTGAAAAATTCTATTCTGCCACCTTCCACACTCTTTTCCCATACAGCGCTGAAACCTCCAAGGTCCATGGCTCCTTTGACTACAATTACGATAACGGAAGCATACATCACCAATGACTGAAACAAATCCGTCCAGACGACTGCTTTCATCCCACCCTACGAAAACAAATCAGGTATTAGGGATTTTAAAGTGGAATTTGAGCATTAATAAAACAGAATTACAAATAAAGGAGTATAATGCAAAAAGTAATTTTATGTTAAAGAAAAAAAGCCTCGCAATATCATATTAAGCTATTTTCTTGAATTTGCATTTGTTGTAATATGGGTAAATCTGCACAAATTTCCTAAAACGTTTATGCAGAAACTCGTGCAGTTTTCCATTAGTTTAATCCATTAGTTGCATTAGTTAGTTAATTAATTCTTAGTGAAATTAAATAGATATTATTAATTGTTGTGTAATAAAACAGTAACAACGTAATAATGGACAGTGCTTTTTGCAATTCGCAGGGTTTTGCATAAAAGCTCAAAATTATTGCATAAATTATACTTATGTAATTTTAACAAATCAAAGTTTTCATATTTATTACGACATTTAATGTTAAAAAATAAATTAAGTATCAATAAGCTTTAGACGAATATTTTTTTAATGAGAAACGTAATATATGACTTTATTTAACTAGTACAAATTTTTCTAAGACCGAAGAACATATAAAAAGTTACATTTCGTAATATTTACAAAATTAATTTCTTAAAGTTTCAAGATGCCAAAAAATAAACATTTGCGTTATTCAAAACATTCTTGTAACTGGAAGTATATGTCTACAAGCAATGGTTGCGAAAATAAATGTAGAATAAAGACACTTTTGTGGACATTCTGTCTACTGAAGTAAGGAATACAATTCAAATACTGGTTAACCGGGCTCCGTTGAAAAATAATTAAATTTGTTTATTGCAGAAAGATGGTTAAATGTTTTCTTTCAACAAAAAATCTGGAAAGGAAAAGAAGAATTGTGTGGAATAATAGCAGTAATAAAATATTTTCATAGTATATGAGAAGATGTTTCTATCATGTACTGTTTTTATTTGTATCCTGTTTCTATCGTGTGTTTCATGGTATATGTGAAAATGTTCCTATCCGATCATATAACTATGCTTAATTTAATTGTACGTAATGCAGAATATATAAAAACACTGCTGGCATCTGGAAAAAAAGCAGCAGCTGAATCTTATTTATTGTACATAAGCAGTTTAAGAGAGGAGGACATCAAAAAATTTGCTGATGGTTTGAGACACAATGCGTGCAGAAATAAGTATACAGAGCTATCACCTCTAGCAGCAACAACGAATCTAACGGTTGTAATTTGGTTGGGAATTGAGGCGAACTGAACATGGATGACAGATATGGAAACTTCATTCCAAGCTGCCTCAACTCCTGAATTCATTAACTGCAGTGGCTGGTGACTGGTGGCGTCTCAGTCTCTTTGGCAACTTTTAGTAGATGTTCTCAATATGTGAGAAATCTGCAGAACATACTTTCCTGGACAACAGTAGAACACATTCTCTATCGAAGAAGGTCAGAATAGCGCAGGTAATATGCCATCGTTCATTACCTTGTTAAAAGATGGCTTCATTCAGGCCTCGAAGACAGGGCACAGTCATGGGCCTTAACACGTCAGAAATGTAATAGAGACTGTTCACATTACGGGCTATGCGAGAAAAAGGTGACCAGGATGTGTCCCCGCTGGCACCCCATACGAGAAGGCTAGATGCTGGGTCAGTATAACAATGATGAATGCAAGCTGGTATTCCCCTTGGTGCCTCTCCACAAGGTTAAGTCCACTCGAAACCAGGATTAGTCTTAAAAAACTAGGTGGAGCCACTCTTGTGTCCAGTGTCGTCATTCATGGCACCACTGCAGACGTGCCTTTCTCTGCTGCAACATTAAGGGCAGCTCCGACAATAATCGCTGTATTGGACAGTTCTCGGACCGCAGACGTCGTCGCACAGTAGATGCTTCTTGTCTTGCACACGAATCAATAGTACACAATTTAGAGACAGTAATGGTACGTGACGTGGCTATATTTATCCCGTAAAACCAATCTCGAGTGTTAGAGTCCTGAACCCTCTGGGATCCTGCTTGACGTTCAAAATGGACCTCCTGGACCTATTCGCCTAACATTTATGTCAACCTAAACAACACAAACAGTAAAGTCGGGGGACCAATAAACCGCAGTCCCGATAGGCCACGATTGAAATCGACACAATGCTGGCAAGAATTTCTCTCTTACACAAGTCTTAATAATACCTTTACACAAACAACAAAAGTTAAAATGCGGTTTTCGAATCAGAAACCTGCTGCGCAATCTTTCTTTCATTTATACACAACGTAAATGGCGTTACGCATACTTGCATTGTGCATTTGCCCTAGAACGGTAATCATTTGCATATCCTAGCATGTAGTATCTTTCACAAAAATTGGATGTTTACTGCATGCCACCTTCACAGTATCGCAAATTTAATGGTTAGCAGTATTTAAAACGAAAACCGAAAAATTCTAACAACGTCTTCTGCGAATTTGAGTTCTAAGATATTGTTGAAACTCTCTTGTAAATATTGTTCTTAAATGTCCTTTATAACTTAGCTTCTTCTCTTTTAATAATGCTTATTCTTCTGTTATTTACATGAATTCTTCTGTTATTACATGTTAACTTATTCTTCTGTTATTACATGTTATTTACATTATTTTTATTATTATGAAGGAAAAGATAATTCTTTGAAATTAATAATTTGATTTAACTTATATAACAAATTAATTATTCCTCTGACTAAACTGGCAAAAAATACAGGTAAACTCTCAAAAGTATTTCCCAGTTAATCAAAATTTAGGCTATTCCTTTTCCTGTGTGTAGTCAATAGGCGTCTGATTAATTGCGATTCTGAATTAACATTCTGTCTGGCAAATTGGAAGTTGATTGTATCACTCTTTTTTTGCTAAAACGTTCAAAAATATAAAAAGATTATGAAGGAAAAGATTAATAAGTGAACTTACTATGCTGGTATAAAATGTGCAAACAAGACCGATGGAAAGAACAGCTGTCCATATCCGAATCCCAGTGACTGTAAATAATAAATTTGTTTTAGATATTGTTCAGAATTCAGATAAGCACTAAATTTTGTTACAGTACTTCTAAGACAGGTATAAATAGCAAGCAAATAAAACAAGTGATGCACAGGACTCATATTCATCTTGAAAATTATAAATTTCATAGAAGCAAACTCAAAAATATAAATTATAATTAAAACATTTAAGACGAGTTTTGTAGTTTTAGATATTCAGAATTTGTAGTTGCAGATGGGCATTTCTAATGACGAATAAAGAAAAATGATTACTTATGTTTAAACACAGAAACTCAAATTTTCAAAATGTTACTAGTCCATAAGTTCAATTTTGGCATTTTCGTAATCATTATAGAAATATGGCATCAAATACTGCAAGGCGCCAGAATTATTTTTAATAATAAAAGCAACCCAGAAAGTCTCAAGAACCACTTTTATATTTTCTCAAGTAAAATAGGAGTCGGAACTAAATATTGAATGATTAATAATAAAAGCTATGTGCTGGAAGATATGGGCCCTCATAGCCTTCATTTGAATTCTTATTCGAAAGTTTCAACGGAGAAAGAGGGCATATGATACGTAAATTGATGTCAGAACTTCACAATAGTGCAGTTAGTTTTGCATACCTTTATTCGTTAAGGAGATAACGATTTATGGGGTTGAGGTAAATGCTTTGTTTTAATGGTCTGCCACTGCTTTCATTTGCGGTGATACCAACAAGGCATTGACAGATTTACACGAATTGGACTAATCCTTATGAACCTTGAAAGAAAGTCTTATATTGCTGTCAACTTCCTTTCACAGTTTTCAACGTAAACAGCATTATTCACAGCGATTTAATCAAGCTGTTAAAAAATTCAGTGAACAGTGATCAGTAAGTGCACCACAACGAATGCCCCCAAATCGCAAAAGTTATAATATTTGCGAGTACTTAACTGAAGAGCCTTCAGCCAAAGAAATCCCTAGAGATTCTTTGCTTCAGCGCCATACGTGCCAGTTTAGAAACTAGTTTTAGCCAGTTCAGGTGAATGGTTGTTACACGCAAACAAATGGTATTCGTATAAGATTCAAATTAAAGATAAGACGAATTCAGTTCACAGAATGAGCTAGGCAGAAAAATGTGTATCCCTTATTCTGACGAAAGATTCTGCTTTCGATATTGTACTTTCCCATGCGAATGGTCAAATTAACAAATAAAATAGTAGTCACAAGCATGATTTGATTCGAACACGGAAAGACTCATCAAAACGTTTGCTAAGACCAAACCATAATATGCAGCTTTTCCCACGACTTAAAAAAACGACCTCAGTTCGATTTTCGACGTCAGTGCTTTGCTAGATCATTTGGAATGAAGGAGTAACAGATTTATTAATAATATATTTATTATATATATATAATATATAGTTATTAATGATAGTTGGCTTAGTTGTTAATGATTACAGCCGATGGAGAAAAAAGTAGTTGCATTAAAGATGTTGACAATCACGCCGAGTTTTATATTTCTTTATTCTCGTTGACAAAACTTTTCAAGCCAGCACTAATAAAATGCGTGGCGTAATAAGCGCGCCTTTCTGTGAGAAATGTCTTACATTTCTGAAAATGATTTGATAACGAAAGCAATGTAGAAACGAAAGCAGTCTATTTAGAGAGGAGAGAATATGCGATATGTTCAAGATGAAATCCGTTTCCAAAAAAGATTTAGTTTCAGATAAGATATTTACCATTTGCAGTTAAAAGTTTCAATTCCGAATTTCTGAAATTATTAATTGGCTGAAGCGTTTTGAAAGTCTCTGTGTCATTTCCTTTTGTGAAAATCATATGACACAGATTAATTGTTTCAGACTAAACGGGAAACTTCCGTACTTCTGAATCCTCCTGTGTATGAACTTCTGAATCCTTATGACTTAAAATGAATACATTGTTTTACTGAAAGACGTTATATTCACTTGATTTCTGGCAAAATTATTCCTACAAAATCACGTAAGAACAATGTAGCCGCAGGAAATCATCGTGATCGAAATGAAAGCAATGATAAATCTCAAAATTTTAGCTTTACCTTATAATATCTTTCTATGAAGTGATGACTGCGAAAATTCGAAATTCCAAAATATCGTAGTAAACGACGATGCTACTAACTAAACATTACAAGCGTTCATTCTATGAAGCTGAGAAATCTGAACATTACAAAATTACCACATTGAAGGTGTAACTTGATAACGTTTAATGGGTTAATTTAATAACGAAAGAACCTTTTTAAACTGTAGAATTTTCATATTATTTATATTGAGGTTAGAAATCATTTTCTGATCTCTTCAGATGAGCATTAAATCCCTTTATTATTCGTAAATTACTATATCCTTCCACAAATGTTTAGAAGCAATATAAATTTGATTATTATTATTATGTATTTATTTTAAGCATAGCATTAAATAATCATAAATTAAGTCTTAAAGAGATATGAAATACACGCGACGATTTTTGAGATGTTTTAAGCTACTTAATTTCTTCCTACTATATGTTGAACTATGTTTTAAACTTGGAGTTTTTATTGCTACTTCTGTTTTCTATCTCAGCATATTTTATGTGATGTATTTAAATTACAAAGGTGCACTTCAAGAGCGATCATTTTATGTGATATCATTCCTCTTTCACTTTGCTTTTTTCGGGATGTTTCCACCTAAATTAAATCATTTCAAGAATAAAACGTATTAATATTTTCATTCAAATTATAATCTGTGGTGAAAGGCAGTTCCAATTCTTTTAAATGAATATACCGGATATTAAAAAACATATTTGTTCGCCACACTTTATTTGATTTGTATCATATTGTTACATTTGGTATTCGTCATTGAAATTAATATGTTATATGTGAGGTGTTAAAAAACTCTCCTGAGTCTTTTATTAATATTGTTCCTTGATTATCGATTCTAATTTTAGTAGCTATTAGACCAATGTATGATGCTTGTAAAATACAGTTTACCTAAACCCTGATAACCTCTATTTTTGTATATAAGTCCTTTTTCGAACATGATAAACTCTAATCTTCGAGAAATTTCACTTACTGAAATTTACGGTTTTAAGGTGGAATAAGTTTTACAAACCTCGACTTATGTTTCACAACGCCAGCTGATAAGCAATTTTGTTTCCTACCAGATGTGTGCATCTCTTCCTGAATTGTTTATTATCTAGCACAATGATTACAGAGCAGTAATTTTATAGTTCTACGATTATAAAGCAAAAATGTATTATATTTTATGATACGAACTTTAAGCTTTACTTTTCGGGCTGAACATGAAATACTGTTAAGATACCTTTCATCGAGTAAAGAAAGGAAAATTTCAAATGTTACATGGAAGTTATTTGCTCATGTTAAACGCATTAGATTTAGCGCATTAGCATGCTTATTACGGGAGATGTTCAATAAAGAATGAGACAAATATTGAGGGAACTACATCGGAGTTATGCCCAAATATAAATAAGAGTTCAACTAAAGCTAAGACATTACAATTTACATTTTACTGAAGTAAAGTAAAAAAATTAATAACAACGTACCAAATTTTTTAATTTTTGGGTTTGCGATTTGCAATAAAGTTTTACAGAAAAGTAAAAATAAAATCTATTTATTGCCGAATCACGTTTTTATTAACTATTCTACTAAATACTTCTACCAGTATATTTGATGAGCATCAAAGCCATACATATTCGTCTAAATAAATTTTTTATATTTTCCAAAACTTTGTAGTGCAGTCATTTTGTATTCAACTACGTCTTTTTATTCTCTTGGAATAAAGTTACTCAGCATCTGTTAGAGACATATATTCCGAGAATTAAATCATATTTTCAAACTTAATTTCAACTTCATATTTAATAAATATTACTTCATTTTAAAGAATTTTATTTTAAATTCAAACTGCTTTACCGTTTGAAAACATAGTTGCATTATTTGAAAAATTATAAAAGACAGCAAAAAAAAAAAAAAAAAAAAAAAAAAGGCAACTAAACAATAACAAATTTTAATTTCTTATCTGTGGCATCTACTTCTGACTATAAAAGAATGATTACTGCTTGCTTTAAAGTTCTAAACATTGTCTTGTAACTTTGAATTTCTTTTATGTTAATTAGGAAGAGAATCAAACAAATGCAAAATTTAAAATTAGGTAAAACAGCAACCTTATTTTGGGGTAGATTTTGAATAAAATGTCATCGATATCGACGGCAATGTGACACAGGTTCCTCAAATGAATAAATAAATTAAGGGTATTGTTCAAACTAATTTTAAATTGTTTTATATTATTATAAAGCATTACATATGCAAACAAAATAATTTCACATGCTAAAACTTCTCATGTGGAAGAATTTTTTTTCTGTCAAATTGTTATGAAGTCTGGCTGGCATATCTGGACAGCTAATAGATACATTAACAGCTTCCACTGAACCAGAATTTTGATGATCCGCACAGAAAGGGAAGTCCAAAAAATAGTATGTTACGAAATGACCGAAGTTATTTCTTTGTCTTTTATAAGGTGTTATTAAAGTTCATTAATCAGTTACTTTGTGTTAATTGACCACTGCTCGCTTTGAAATCGTTGAGTTTGTTAATAAAATTTGGCTAAAGTTTTGCTAAATATGAAGTAGATAATAAAACAAACTTCAAACACCAAATTTGGTCTTCTAGATGCCCATACTCGAGTGGAGGACTACGTTATCCAAAATCTGATTTCTCTAGGTATCGTTGTTTTTCTCAATATGAGAAACATGCGTACATGCATTCAGATTCTTCATTACGAAATTAATAGCCCTTCTGGACTAAAATTATTACATTAAATTTATTTACCCTTTGTTCTGATTTTCCAATGCGTACTATTTACAATAATGTTGTTATTTTAAATCTTAAAAATCTTTAGAATTTTTTTATAAAATTACTTTTAATTGATGTAGTAGTTATTATATTTAGCATTTAAATTAATTTTTAAAATCTGATGAAACGCACAAAATACATGCTTTCATGAAATGTTGTAGAACGTTTGCACCAAGCAATATTGCGATATCTTCTTATACAATCTAAATGAAGGAAACATTCAAAACAGGGAAATAAATGAACAACAAAAATAAGTTTAAATTTGGAAAGAACAGCAAGCTATGCTGACATCTAGAATCGAATATTTGTAGTTTTGCCGGTAATTAAAAAATTGTAGCAGGAAATTATAGAAAGGAAGTACGTGTACTACCAGAAAATTTAATTCGAAAGATTAAATAAAATAAAATAACAACCAGAAATTTCATGTTCAAATTTGTGTCAAGCATAAGTTTTTAGGAGAATGATAGTTAACATGAGGCAGTTTAATGAAGTTATAATGAGATACATTCAGACAAGTTTCCAATTTCCATGTTTCACTTAAAAGCAAAGAAAAACAACTTCTTGCAAAAAGTAAGATGTAAAACGCAATAGTGACATTCCGAAGAGGAAATGTTTCTCTTGCGGTTACAAATATCCTCAGTAAAAGTTTCGAAATATTGCTCTCGCAATCTTACTGCAAAATAAAGAATCAATAGTTAAATATCTTTCACTTTCTTCTCCTTATGTTATCATTAAAGTTTAATATGAAATTAAAATTCAAATTTGCAAAATACAAATTCGTTTTTTCTCCTCATCGAGAAGATTTGCTTATAGTACCGTTACAAAGATTTCCGCCGATGCATTAAATCTGCCGAAGCAGAAATCAATTTCACAGTCTTTAAATACATCAATAGGAATAATACATAAAATAATAAACCAAGATTTACAACTTGAAAAGCATAATGTTCGCCAGCTTTTGTCGAGCACGTGACGCTACGCAGAACAATTTGTACAGCCCTGAATGAAAACTATTTAACAGGAGATAAACGGAAATAATTGTGACCTTTGATGAAACATACATTTATCTAAATGACTACAACAAAAAAGGTCTATTTGTTATCGAAAACGAAGAGGAAAAAATGCACAACCTGGCTCCATCAATGCAAAGAAGGCTTAAGTAAAGGGGTTATGATTGTCACAGGATATTTTTATAATGGGAAATTAAAAAATAAATTAAGTGGAAAAAAGTACAGAAATTAATTCAATGTAACATCAAGAGAAAGGTTTACGTCCGATACTTACAGAAAAAATTCCATATCTTTATCCCAATAACTTACAAAGAGTAAAACGTAAGACAAAGCAACAAGTGATACTTTGAAAAGCACCATTTCATTCCTTGAAGAAATGAAGACAGGTATTGCATATACACGTTTTCAACTTTTTCTTGCTATGTCCTCTGACGTTTCAGCTCTGGGATGTTGTGCAACTGGTTTCTTAAAGGAGCTCTTTGAAAGTTCAAACCCACCAGGACTTATTGGACTCTGGAAAGTAGTAGAAGAGGAAAATACACTTGGAAATTTTATGAAAAGCTCAGCTATCACGGCAATCACGATGGAGAATTACAGTCCATAAAAGGCTACCAGATTGAACATTTAAAAATACTCTTTACATTTTAAGCATTAATTAAACGGTTCCCGAAATCCTTCTGACAATGGACAAACATCTTTTGTAAATACTTGTTTTATTTTCATATATTTAATATCAGTACGCTTGCATCAATATACTAGTAACGACGTAATTACATACCTGCATCAATCCTCCAATCAGTAGCGAAATTATCAGGACCTCTGACAAAAACATGAGAAACGACATTTTAATTAAAAGAATTGAACATGCATTGTCTCCTTCTTTTCTCCTTCAGCTTAAAAGCTGAATATTCGCAGTAAAATGTTTTAGCCGCACGGATGATCTTACGGCCGTATATCTCTCTTATCATATACATAGGGAACATGTATTGAACGTGAAGATGTGTTTAGAATTATTGGCGGGGATTAAGCAGACTAATAAACATATTCCTGAGTGGACTAGTTGCCTTATTGGTAGGATAAAGTAAAGTAAAAAAAATTCAGACCTTACTGTAGAGCAGCAATACGTTAACAAAGCAATCAATACAAAGCACGTTATCTCCGAGTTCCTGAACTTTTATATTTCCAAAAACGACTTTAGGTATTCAAAGAATTCGTCCGTCAAAGACATACCAAGTACTACCCGACATACCTGGTCAAAGATAAGACCAAGTATTCATCTACCTCGTCAAAGACAGACACTAATGAGCTTCTTGAGTCATATTAGGTTTGTAATTGGAGCTTTTGTGTGCTATGTTAACTTCGCAATGGACTACCTACATCACTGACAATCGAAAGGAAAGGTAAGAAGGTGCCAGAAGTGTCTTTCCTTGATTTTGAGTAGATAAATATGAAGCTGAACTGGAGTTTGGTGTTAATTCAGAGTTAGTTCATTTAAGCTGTATAGCTCTCTACTTAGTGACTGGGCTTTAGATTTTGCTCCTCAAATTATTTTTCTGATCTGCGAATAGTATGTTTGAAACAATGACCTCAGCCAAAAAGTTTAATCGCAATTTTTCAGCTCATATTTACTTCTATTAATAAACTGAAAAAAAATTTAATTATTAAGAAAATTTAGAAAATAAGTTTCTGTGAAAGATTATCATAGAAAATAGTTTGTTGAGCAACGTTTAAGAATATCTGAAATGTCAGTTATGGATATGAATAAAATTAGCTTCAGATAATATAATGTCTTTTTTCAAGTTTAACAATGGAAACGGAACAAAGGAAAAACGATATTTTAATTTTTATGCAAAAGACTAATATTTACCTTCAGATAAAGCCAGCGCAGGTGCATATAGTACGACTGGCATATACATCAACTGAAATAAATAAAAAATTCATTGTTATATGTAGAAAAACTATATATTATTCAAATGAAGTTCTCTGTATTGATTACTTTCTTATTAAAATGGTCGCCACATAAAACGTTGACGATATTTAAAAGTTGCATTTTACAAATGTGGCAACTAAATTTGTCAATTTTAGTGACTAATGGTGGTGGCTGCTTTACTAACTTTAATTAAGAAGTACATTTACATTTTTTATGAAATTGTACACTGTAGCTTCAATAAGTACTTATGAACATTATAAGAACTATTTTAGTTTTATACGATGCCACATTCTCAAGAAAAACTATTGGTAAATTTAAAACAATTAAAATTCATAATTGTGATAACTTTTAAATTTTCGACCATAGAATGAATTTTAATTTAAAATTAATTTTAACACAGAATTAGTTTTAAATATAAATTTAATAATTAGAACTAATTGCAACTACTAAAAATAACTATCAGAAGCGAATATTCGTTCGTTACTAAGAATTACATTTAATGTACATCTAATGAAAATTTTATTGGTAATGGTATTGAAAATAGATATTTCTAACAGAATAGACAATAAATTGTAAGCATTAAAATAGCAACTAACACAAAAGAAAATAGATAACTGTGTTTTATGTTTCAGGAAAAAAAAATACTTTTAAATACACAAAATATTGTAATGCTGTTATGAAAATATTTTAAGTGTTTTAATGCCTCCTTATTTCAAGGTCAATTAAAAATAAAGAGTAAGGAAATAAATCATGCATAGAAGGTCAGCCTGTAAATGCAAACAACTAGTATATTATTTAAACTAGAATTATTTAAAATACTAGTTTCAAAGTAAATGAGCCACTATTTACTCGTATGTCCAGTTTTAAAAGGAAACAGAGCGTAAATTAGAGTAACTAAACAAGTAATTTGAAAAAAGGTAAAGCGAAAAAAACAATAAAACGAATAATTTAAAAAATTTAATACTTTTTGAAAGTTTTCTATAAACCTATTGTTTAAAGGGAAAAAAACTGTTTACCGTTTAAACAGTATTTTGGAATTATTTAGCTGTGTTTGAATTATTTTGAAATTTTAAATTCTAATGACCATTTTTATCAAGCACTACTAAGCGGAAATGATAAGCACACCTTTCCTCTCTCCACAAAATTCAAAGACACCTGCAGAATAACTGAATAAATTAAATACGTAAATAAGGAAATAAAAATTTATCAAAAAAATTTTATTTATCAAAAAATAAATTACACTTATAGTCATTATAAGCAGTTAAAAGTACATACCATATGCATTGCAAATACACCAGAACCAATCGTTCTTACTAGACTATGAAACCTCAATTCCAGATACTGAAATATTTAAGGCATTTTATTAAAACTCAAAAAATTAAATTCAGTTTCTTATTTTTATCATGAAAAACAAAGATTATAAGAACTCATTTTCTGTTTTGCAAAATTACAAAGTATAGAATAACAATCTACACCTTAAAAAAGAGTTTATCATTAAGAATTTCAGAAAATTAAAAGAACACGTATATTCATTTATATATGCATGCCAATTAAATATAATATTAAAAAGTGTAAAAAAGATTTTAATTATTAACAAGTGAGTTTATTGCTTTTAAAGAGTACAGTTTCTTCTTATCAAGAATAGATTGATTAAAATTGAAAGACAAATTAAAGATCTTATGCTTTTCCGAATGGTGTTACTGCGACAATCGGTTATTCAAAATAGCGCATGGACAATATATTAAAATTATTAATATTTGATGTTGTGGTAATATTTATAAAGAATTGTTTCTAGGTTTTCTTCTGATATTGCTTTACTTTAAAACAAATTACACGATGGCTCTATAAAAGATGAAAGAATAAATATGAGACATGAATCTTATGCCAACCAAAGCATCTGACAGCAATTTAACACTTGATTTTATAGTCTTGTATAACTTCTTCTGCTGAAAGGATGTAAAAGTGCTTAGGATAAGGCATTATGGCTGATTAAGATAATTGAAGCTAGTATTTGTTAGGATACAGCTACAAGAGAAACAGTAAGAGTTTTAATAATAAAAATACTTATATAAAAGAAAATTACTTTAAAACTTGTCATTACCAATAGCTACATTTGTACTTGTAACGCAGGGCAATGATATTTCAGGACTATAGGTGCAAAGCATTGCTTCCTCCTTATATACAAATACGAATTTACTTCTAGTTAGACCTTCCATCAGTTTATGAGACAATAATGCTAATAGGCAGAACAGAGACATTCAACCAAGAGGAATTTTCCCCGGGAGGTGGTATTTTATAGTTTCGGGGAAGAAACGTGGTCAGCCTTTAATTTAGCTGTTCAGTATTTAGTGTTACTTTATGAATATAAAGAAAAAATAATCATCATGTTTATCAATATTTCCTATACGTTTTGTTATTAAATTAATAAAACACGTTAAAAATAATTAAATCTAAATAAATATATAGGTAATTTTGAAGTTTTTAGAAAGATTGGAGATGAACTAACAGTGGTGAAAGTGGAGCACAGGGCAAAAAAGGTTGAGAGCTTCCTGATATAGAAGTTGCCTTAAATACACTCCATACCTAAGTAAAATCATAACTTTTCTTTTAGCTCTGTCAGAGATAGTTTGATTTTATGTGTTGTTCTAGCATTATATTTTAAGATTTTATTTGCTTTTTTATTGATTTGTGTGCTCCGTATTTTGCGCGCAATCGCTCTCGAACACCAAAATTCATATGACATCGAAGCTCAGAAGTATTTCGCTTGCCCTGGAGTTGGGCAGATACGCGAATAGTACTAATGTCCGCTGATGTCCCTGCTCAGAGGCATGAAACTTACAAAGCTTGTAGAGATTAGAACTTTATTTGATGTAGACCGTTTGAATAATCACGATCCTTGAAATTTTCATTTGGGAAATAATTTTCGGATGAGAGATCTGCTGACAAGAGGAGCCAAACCTTCTCTCGCAAGATGCCCGATAAGTTATGGTTTATGTCTTCCTAACCATAACTCTCTCAAAATGGCATTTCGATTGCTGCAGAGAATAACTTTTCTGTAAGAAAGACGAATGAGCCGTGTTCCTGCTAAATAGTCACATTTTTAAAAATTTACTTTCATTTTCGTAATATCTCAAGATATAAAAATTGACCTCTAGAATGTTCTGAAAAGGTATTCATTTGGTTTCGACTATTAACCAGTTGGGGAAGTTTTTCGGTATACTAAACTGCCATTCAATACATTTTTCGGGAAGAGTTGTCTTAGTGGCATACGCAGTAGGAACGATATTCTAAAGTAGCGATTTTTCCTTCAGCAGCCATGTTGCCTCTTAAGCATCGTGCATCATTGATAGGGGACTTGGGAACTTAATAGCATATTGAAGAATCATAGTTAATGTTACAATTATTGTTTAGGGACCAATATTAATTTAGAGCATTATCATACCTTCACATTGCATAATGTTAATTTCAAGAATAATATCATTCGACGTTATGACCAATATACTAAAGTGTACTAAAGAACTGATAAATTTTTATTCATGTTTGATGACTCAAATGTGGATAAGATGCGTATACAGTTTTTCTCTTGCAGTTTAACATTTATTAAATTTATGATTACAAGTCATTCACTGTGTGTCAAAAACTTTTGTCTATATTCTGCCGTGTTAAAATTTTTTAAGTTTCCTGTCTATACACATAAATGAGTATTTCATTTACTTTTATTTCTTTTAAAAATGTCCCACCTTTTTAGACACTAATGTAATTGGTGGCAATCTCAAAATTTAAGGAAAAATCATTTAATGCTGTAAAGGTAGTAAGTATAAACATTTGATGAAGTGAAAGGTTGTTCTGAATCAAACTGGATAAAGCTCATTCCTTACAACTGTTAGTGAGAAAAAGAAATCTATGGTCATGAGGCTATTATTATGACACTATTTGTGGTTCTATTTTATCCCAAGTACAATAATAAAATTCAGTTCATGAATGCCAGATAACATAAATTCTATGTGCTAGTAAAGAGTTTTACAGGGGTTCTTTATTCCTTTGTTCGTTAAATAATTTTAATGATGACATTCAGGAATTAAAAAAATTAAAAAATTGAAAAAATTATGTACCTTTGTTACTCTGAAACAAAAGTGACAGTGATATTCAGTTATACAATGTAAGCAAGAACGTTTCCGTTATAATCTTATATTCAGATTGGTTCATTGCAAATCGGAAAGATCTGAGGTAATCTGTTCAGTTACGATATAGACATGTATTTTTCTTGCCGCTTAATTTCAGATAGGTTTTATTTTACGGTTGTTAAATTTATACTTGGTATGTTGAAGTTAGATAATGGTAACTAAAGAGAACTATTTCAAAAGTAATTTAGTCATTCTAAATCAGGTGCTTTCCTTAAAAAAAAAAAAAAAAAAAAAAAAAAAAAATCCCGATAGGTTCATGTATTCCTGCTTTATCTCCTGTACCGTGTAGCAGTCACATATATGAAATTTGGAGCTTGTGAAAAATATCAGGATGGAATGACCGAATCAGTGGGAACCGATACGTATGCTCCTTTTAACTTCATTTTGCTTTCGTGGAATGTTTAGTTCGATAATTATATCTAGTATGTATTTCTGCCACATTGCTCTAATGTTCGATATTATGCAAGTGCATAGCTAAGTCCAGCCGTTACTTGATGTGGCAAATAATGTCCTAAATGGTAACCATGGAATCCAAACAATTTCTACAAGAAGGAAACAACAAGATGAGAGAAGAAAAGGACACCGTTTACTTCATGTGAAGCACCGATGCGACATATTACTAGGGGTTCAAAAGCATTCTGGAGTCTTCAACATCAGTGAGAAATCAGAACCAAATCCACACGACACACTGGAACTTACAAAATACAGTTCAAAACATATTACAGAAATAAATTTCAGATTCAAGTGTGCTCAAATAAACTTATTAGAAAAAGATATAACACATAGAAAGCGAAATTCCATATGTATATGACATTTCAACTGAGCGCTCAAAACTTTTTATAAACTTTCTTTATGTATAAGTGATTCATGGACTATCCTACACTCCTTTCAACGGGTGTCCGGTTGACTCAAAGAAATATAGTTTTAAAAGAAATAGAATGTAAATAATGAAAAGTTAACATTGGGAATGGTGTGTGGTGGTGTATTTAATTATGGCAAAGGACACGAGGGCTATCTGCCTAAGGGGAGAGATGCCTTCGTGGAGGACTTTCTAAGGGAAACTGGCTCGTATACACGTTACACATGGGGAAAACCAAGAAAACGCCCATAGCATTGGGAATGAATTTAATGAATAGAAGCAGTGGGAAGCTATGCTAGACTAAGGTTTAAAAAAATCAAAAGGAGATTTCTGCATACGGAGACTGTTATTGCTAATCTTTAAGGTTCAAATAACTGTTATATTGGTCAAATTAAAAAATTGTTTCATAATTACGTTTCACGTGCTTAATCATTTCATACTGATATCACTAAAACAACACGCCGTTATCGTTCTAATGTCCAACATTTCCTCATTATTCACTAAATTTAGTGTTTCGCTAAATTGTAGGAAATATTCCTACTCAATCTTGAGTAATATCATTATTATCACACTATCTAGAAAGGAGGAAAAGAGAGGTTTTCGAGAATCTCTGCTTATGCCTAAAACAATTTATTTAAAACACAGCAGATTTACGTACAATTGATGAAACATTTAATTTTACTAAGATTATCATTGATTTCATTTTTATCTTGTCATATACTACCAACTATACTATTATCCTTGTTAGATGCTCTTATCCTGACTGTTTTGTGAAATATTTAAATACTGACGATTTAACGATTTATTTTAATTAAATACTAATTATTATTTAATTAAAACAATAAGTATGAATTGAATTTGAATGAATTATTATTTGAATTATTAGAGAATTCAATAATATACATTTCTTTTATACATGAAATTGCTGAAAATTGCATACGTTTTATAAACTGATTGCTATTGAACGGTGTGTTGTAGGTACATAGTTCCAATTTATGAAGGGAATAGAATTAAATAGGTCTTCAAATTTTGATAATTTTGTCTGATGACATATTTCAATAAAAGTACATGAAATTAAAAGTTTTATATTAAATTCGTAGGGTAAAATATTTTGCTATAAAACTGATTTCTATAGTCGAATTAGTCAAACAAGAAAAGCATTCATTGGTAGCAACACAATTAATTAAGTTTGGTAGCACACAAATAATTACATTGGTAGCACACAAATAATTAAACACAATTAATAAGTTTTCGAAACTGAATATAAAAATATAGCTAAAGAAAAATGTGAATATTAA